ATTCGAGAGTCAGATTAGGCAAGCCATAACCCAATTTTGCTTTGCTGTCAATCCTCGGATTGTTTACAGCACTAGGAGAGCCCTTCCATCCATTCAAAAGGATTGCGTTCCTACCAAACAAAAAAGTTCCGTCATTTATGAATTTACGTGCCAGTGTGATTCTGGCTACGTAGGACGCACAACCCAAAGATTGGGTGATAGGATAAAACAGCATGTTCCTTCCAACATACGAAACAAAACTGCCCCTCGAAGAGAACAGCCTCCTCGATCTTGTAGGTCTAGAAACACTGTTAAAACAAGTGATTCTGCCATTGGTCAACATCTTTTAGACAACCCAGATTGGGCAAAACTCTATAATGACGACATGTTTGGGATAATTGGCAGAGCCCGGTCGTCCTTCCATCTAGCAGTTTTGGAGTCAATCTACATAAAAACGAAAAAGCCGTCATTGTGTAGACAAAAGGAGTTCGTTTTCTCTCTTGGACTCCATTGGTAATTTTTCTTTAGGCTCGCGGCACTGATTGGTCAACTATACCGGTCTTGTGCTTGCGTTTTTCTGATTGGCCTATTTCGTTCCACAACTGGGTATATATTTTCCATCGTGTTTTTTCGGAACCTATTCTGACGTTTTATGCTCTGAGGATTGTCAGACGAAAAAGCTTTTAGCATGTCGTAAAATGTTTGCTTTTTTCAAAGCCATTTTCAAAACATATTTCAAAATATAAAATATTAAGATGGTTGATTGCTTACTCAACCTGGTCCTAAATTGTCATTTAAAGCAAGAGATAAAATATTTTTAAAATGTTATGCAAGGAAAACACTAAAAGCACGTAAGAGAGGCTCTTTATCTTCCAAACAAGGGCACAAAATGTCTGGAGAGCTATTGGCCTTTCCTTACCTACATATTATGAACCGAATTCTTCAAAAGCATCTCTAAAAAGGAATACGATATTTTTTACTTTATAGAATTACAAAAAATAGAAAAAAATTATCTCAGAACAAATAAAAACAATTTATTTGTTTTTATATGATGTCTTCATGCACTTGATTTTATTTTCTTTGACATTTTCATTCTTTTTTGTTGGATATCACACCAAATTGATATCCGGGGTTGTGTAGATGTCGAAATTGTACCAGTTGTTTTTATCTGCTGCTCAATTTGTTTGCAAAAATAAAAGAATATTCGATAGGATTAGGAGGATTGCTTTAATAAGATGTGCTTGAACGAGTGCATTTTCCAGGGAACTGGAAGTATCAAAATTCGAAAATTTTCTAGTTGCCCGTTCCGGTATACCGATTTGGCAAAACTATTAGGAAAGTCCGTTATTATCATTTTAAAATGAAAGTTGCGAATCATGAAAGTGACAAAACCATGATTCTTTATAACCTGGTGAAATTGTAATCGTTCTCTCAAGAATCATAGGATATGGACGTTTTCGATCTCCCGGTTGTACAGGGATTCAAATCACAACCTTGTAATGATCTTTTTCGCTATGAAGAATTGAGAAAAAAGAAATGGTCAATTACTAGTCTTTGTTGATTGTCTGTGATCTCAAAATGTAGGATTTTTAATTTTTACATACCCCACGAAAAGTCTGAGTCAAGAATCGAGAATTACCGGGACATTATAGAAAACACTTTGAGTTCCTAAATCAAAACAGAAGTAATAGCAGACTCTGACAGCTTTGAGATTTCCTTTTCACTTTTTGCAATTTTCAATTTTTGCCATTTAGGCACTTTAGTTTTTCCAAATCCGATGTAGGTCCTAAGACATTAATAGTCATCAAACTTTAGAAGAAACTGTATATAGTTGGCTCTCAAAGTTTTGTCCATATAAAATAACAAATATCTCTTGTCTGATCACTTGACAATAAAAAAACTAGACACATTTTTCCGAATAAATTTTTTTTGGTGCACATCTCTAAAAGCTATAAAGCAATTTTGAATTGAAAAAGGACCGCAAAAGAAATTTATTTGAAATATTATCCACTCACCTTTAACATTGACAAGTCACATTCTTCGTTTGAAGCAGTATTGCACTTGAATCATATTTTCTTTCGTTGACAAACTTCAGGCACGGCCAACTCGTCCAGGTCCGTCTCTTTTGCCAACCAGATTGAGATAACTGCAGAGGAAACGCTTCTTTTATAGATTATTGATTGGAAACGTCAAATTAGGACATCGCATGAAATCGAGAATATTACGTCACAATCAAGATCAAGCCTTCCTATCAAAAGGAGGCTCGATAAGTATTACAAAATCTTTATTCCATATCGTGGAGACTTGAAGAAATAATTTAAACTTCAAAAACATATTTAGGTAACTTGGTATCTTTATTACGTTTAAAAACCATTATTAAAGACACACATATACGTTTATAATATATTTTTAGAATTTTCGCTGGAAAAAGAGAATGCCGGAGGTTAGCGAATATTCTGAGAATAAATTATGTACGTGTATGTTTGTCTTTAATTGTGGTCTTTTAATCTCAATGAAGATACCAAGCTACCCAACTGAAATTTGCCTTATAACATACGGGATCTGATCAAATCATTGGCTCAAAACACTAGTGACCGAAAAAACAAACTTCAAAAGCTGTGTGATAACAAGATATTACATTCGATGCCTTTTCATAGCAAAATGCATTGCAAAAATCCAGACGCAATCAAGGGCATCAACAAATGACGTATCTAATGACAATTAAATTTTTATTTAATGAAACTAAAGTCCGTGATAAACAAATGAAGTACTTTTGGAAATGTTTAATGCTCTCTAAAGAAAATAAAGTTTTTAAAAGATGAAGATTTCTGTTTGCAAGTATCGTGGTCGATGTGAAAAGTGGTCGATGTCAAAGAGATGGAGTTTTAACATGTGGAACAGGGCTTTTCTCAAATGTAACTCTGATTTTTACCCTTAATGAACCATCAGGCGAATGTAAACTCTTTAAATACATCGATAAAGTTTACTTAACTAACTGTTGAACTTAACTATCAATCGCACATTTTAACCTAAGCTTACTTTTAGAATATACAGGTCCTGAAAATGTGGAGCAAAAATACGAAGTAATTGAAATAATATCCACTTACCTGTAATAATTTCAAAACCCATGACAAACAATTCAGCTTATTTATTGTATTGCTTTTTTGCTGGAGCGTTATTGCTTTGAATCATACTTTCTTTCTTTGACAAACTGAAAACAAGTCAAACTCCTCTACGTCCATATCTTTCGCCAACCACATTGATATTAATTGCTAAAAGCTTCGCTTCTTTTATAACCGATTGATGGAAAAGAATCGAGAATATTACGCCACAATCAACTACCGGCACTGGATTATTGCGAGGCTCCAAATATGGTTATGATAAGCACAATGCTGCAAAACGGGACAAATCAACGTCTTCCGAGTAAAAGGACCTGAAAGGTTAAACAAAGTATACCTACGATGCTTCAGTTGTTTTATAGAAGTCACAGTTTTCTCAAAGATTAGGGAACATTTTGCTACTTTTTGCTTAAATTGTACATTAACTTCTGGAAAAATCATGAATTTTCGTTACTTTTTATTAATTTATTCTTATCCACGTGTTTATTGTATTTTTCTATCCAATTATACGCGTTCTTCTTTGGGTCGTTAACATTTGTTTCTTTCAAAAATTCTTTTGTTTTTCATCACCATTACCACAGAAAGCCTTTGGATTTCTTGATTATCAATTTTTCTGTGTCGTCTAAAATTATGAACGGGTTTATGATTTGATCGCAAGGTGGATAATAAATCAACTACAACCATAACTTACACTCTAGGCATATTTCTAAAACAGGGTTTTAAAAAAGCTTATCGTAGTTCGTCTAAGGTTTACTCGTTCTTAATTGCTTTCTCGTACATAGATTATTGTCTGAGATTGCAGCTTCGGCACATCAAAGTCGGATGCTACCACCGACCTAATACGCTATTCTGTGAAGCAACGCCTACATGTGATGTGCCTATCTTGCCATAGAAAGAACACCACAATAACAAACTAAAATAAAAAGCCAGCAGACTAGCCAAGGATCTTCATGAACAAAACGATTGAAAATATCAGTAACTTTCCCTCCCTTACGTATTAAAAATACGATTCCATAGAAATTTTTACTCGCGATATTGCAAGAAACTCTCCACTGAATGATCTTTGACGTGAAACAAAATATCACTTTCACATTTCAAAAGAGAACAACATTCCACGTGCTTCGCAATGATTGATTTCCTAATTATTTTTGCATTTATACATATTCGAGAATCAGTTATTTTGAGTATCCATAGTAAATAGTATTGAATGTGGAGTATCCATACCATTGAGATTTCTGTGATGGAATTGTTTCGCATTCAGGGGAACACCCGGTGCAAGAAAATGATTGATAGATATCGTGTCAAGGCTGACATTAAGTCTAGCATTTTTCAAAGCAGGTTCCCAAAGAAGAACACCTGTGAGGTTAACAGGAAAGTCACACCAAATTATCTGCGTCGTCTGTTGGCAGCAAACGCGAGGTGAACAGAAACCAGGGACGCTAAAGATGTTGACTATCGTGAAATGAAAACTGTAATTTCAAACTGTGTATAGTATCTTGGAAAGAAAATATTAGAAAGCTCATCTACTTTTGCACCAAACACTCTTACTCAAATGTTCTGGGGTACTTTATCAGCAATGTATACATAGAGTTACACTCGTGTTTAAATAGATCTCAACATGGATTCTTGTGGTACCTCCCTTTATATATACAAAATTGTACTTTAGAGAAACGACAATATTTCATTCATAAAACGACCATATAAAATACTGATGACAGTTATGGATCTGCTTATTCAGTTTTAAGTCTTGGTTCCCAAACTAATATTACTGTAAACTGAGTCGAGTGCTTTGTAGTCTTCCAGCAGGCAATCGGGAAAATGCCAGTACCAAAACATAGATCCTTTAAGTCCACCCAGTACCTCCGCTGCCTTTTCTGGAAAGCTGCCATTGCCAAACAGCATCGGATGGACTAGTTGTATATGAAGTTGTATCTACGAGAGATAATGCTGACAATAAGATTGCTTCTCGGTATTGCCAGGTTTTTGGTTCAGTAAAGCTGAGGAGGCTTCAGAAAACATTAAAAACATTACTGTTTGCACTTTTAAGTGTTCTCTATAAAAGTGTTAACTTAAACAAAGCTGCTTAAAATCAACAGTGTCTTGAATGATGCTTTCCAATACAGAAAATTGTTTTGCTAGCTTCTCGCTAGTTTTGCCCAACCCAGGAGCTTTGTGCGCCTAACTGGCAGGCATGCATTAATACATAGTTATTATATATACTGTAAATTCGTTTATAAATACATAAATAGAAGATACTTGTTAGACACTTACCTGCTTAGCAACTGAGGCAGACTGGCAATGATTGGCCCGTACCCCTGTGCGTTGTCATACAACTCAAACAGCGGAGCAGCGACCAACTTGTAATTTCTCGGAACAGCAAACACCGCTGACACAAAATAAAAATTAAAGTTTAACTGACACTGCACAGTGAACATTGCATAGCCAAATCCACTTTTATTTTGTCTCACAAATAAGAGTATCTTCTAAAAGATGCAATGTTGACGACAGGCGAAACAGCTTACAAATAGACGCAAAATGTGATAAATGCTGAGGCGGATTTTACCAGCAGAACTCTTCTAGGCTAATGGGCTTCTTCAAAGCAAAGAGAGACAGCAAAAGGGTAGGAGAAAAGGAGGGAAGGCGTCGTTCAGTGGGGAAGGGGAGGGGATCCTTCCAGGAATTATTCATAAAAAGAGACAGTAAAAAATGGTGCTAAAACTGAGTAAAAGTGATTACAAAGATCAGCAACATTTCACTGACTTTAACGCGATCGCAAACCAATGAGTGCAGAGTTCCATACAATACTATATTAAACATCTCCTACAAATATCTTTGCTAAACCAAGTGGAGTGTACTCGGCTGCTCTTTTTAACTAGCATAGGTTTGCAATCGGAGTTTTAACAATACATAAAAAAAGGCATTTTGGTTTAATGCCACAAATTGTTTGCTGAAACATACCTAAATTGACATACACAAAATAAAAAAGGAAATTTGCCAAATTACCTTTTTCTGGAAGTTGAACTAGAAAAAGCCTCTTTTGTTCTTTTGGTTTTGTGATGTGTGCAGGTATGTATGGATACTGGCAAAAAAATCAAATTGATGGTAAATTAATATAAAATGATCTAAAAACCTTTATTACCAGTACATAACGGTAAAAAAATCATATTAAGTAAGCTTCACGGGTTATTGATTAAAGCAACAACTTAGGGCCCTAGAGGTTCGAAGACCCTGCAAAGAATTGGTCGGTGACAATGTCCATAGGCTGCAGACAGAGATGAAGAAAAGCATAAAATGTAATTTGTGGAAAAGCAGCATGTTAAAAACAAGAGGACGAGCATACAGGTTTTTAATTGTAAGGTACAATGCAAAGTTTCGAAATTGAATGGTTTGCAGACTTTTAGGCATTTTAGGCCCTGGATGGTGCTTAAAGAACTTCTAGGAGTCCAAGAATTCTATTCCCAATAAAATCTGACAAAGCGAAAAAATTCAACAGGGTTAATCATCCTTTAATCGATTCAAATTCGTAATACTTTACTATTCATCAGCTTAATTTTAAGGCAAAAAGGTCAAAAAAATCTTGCCTATCAAAACAACATTTTAGGAAAACAAACTTCAAGTGACAATGTTCAAATCTATTGAAAAAGATGGAAACGATCCATCGATACATTGAAAAGAGATTCACAGAAAGACGAACCTGGGGTGCTTCGAAATTTGGCCTCCACCAATTGGCTAATGAATCTTCAATAGTCCAGTCAACTTTCTCAGGATCTTCGGCCCTCCCTAGAATCTAAAAGATTGATTATTAATGGTGATAAAAATTTACTGATTTATTAGACATTTTGAAACAGATACTATCATTTATCTTGTTCTTAAGCTGACATGTGAAAACATGATGCATTATATGTTGGAAATGTTCAAAATTTATATAGCTAACTAAAAATTTACACAAATATCAGCATTATGTACTTTTATATAACCTTTATTTCAAGATATTCTATGTACGAAGGGCCTGAAACAAAACCATAAATAAACAGTGTATTTTTTACCTCTGCCATTGCTCTTTTTAGTCCTTCAATTTCATCCTCCCCTGGTGTTATTTCTCCTCCAGGCCTAAATGAAACAAACAATTCAGCATCAAACAAACAATGCGTGGAAATATCAATTAAACAATACGGCAAGTTGGTTTAATGTTGACATAGGAGCTTTGCAAATGTACACATATTTTTTCCATTGAATCTAAAATATTCCTTCAGCATGCCCTTAAACGCAAAAAACTGGATTTTCATGCCTTCAGAAGATCTCTAAAACTTTAGACACAAAAAACACACAAACTATATAAATACAAAATAAAGATATAGACAGATTGCAGAACTGCAGAACATACAGTTTGAAGAATGTTGTTCCTAGTTGCAGTAAAAGAACATGAGGAAGGCCATGCTCGTGCACAATGAGGACACCTTCAACTGTCCTTCGCATCCCTGACTTGGCATACTCTTCCCTAAAATCATTGAAAAAGACATTGTATGGTGATACATAGAAAAAGGTTGCACAGTATTCTAAATGCTATTTTTCTATTTGACAAGATCAACTAATCAATGCACATTGCCAGAGGTGTCCTTGACTTCCTTTTCTAAGGCATTCTTGTTTTCAGATTTTCTATAAAATGGCTAGAAATTTTTTGATGATGATATCCAGAATAAATTAAAAATTACATAAAGTAGCAAAAACAGTTATAATTGTGCTTAAAACTATCCTGATGGTAATTTCTATTACCTCACCTTACTGATGTCCTTTATTCTCAAAGAATTATATATATATACTAAAAAGATGTCCTAACTTAAACTCAAAGCCATAAAAATTTGTAGAACATGCTGCAATTCCTTGTTTTCAATTTATGCATCTTTGCATGATATAACAAAGGGAAACAAAACAACTCTTTCATTTTCATAAAATATTGTATTTCAAAATATACTGACTTTTGTCTTTGTTGGCAAATTATAACAAAACATCAGTCAAAAATTCATTTGTGGCAACAGCTGATTAACCGAGACTATTTTTGTGATTAATTCAGGATATTCCTGTCTAAAGATTAGAGAAATATTTATACAATACCATCAAAACTAACCTCATTCTCTGAAACCTAGCTTGAACTGAGCTAAAAAAGAATCAAGATTAGTCATATTTTAGGAGTTAGGAGTTTGCAAGGAGTTTGTCACAGTTACCTTGCTTAGATTAAATGCATTCCCAAATGGCAAGTTTCCTCTTCATACTACTTAATTCGCAACAAGTACACAAGGCCATCAGTTGTAAGAGCATTTACTACTTATATGAAAGCTCCTATGAAATCTCCATTTAGCCTGCCTTCATATCATAACTCCTTCTACATTAAGCCCCTTTTCCAGCAAAAGCTTTATATTTTCATCTCTATAAGTCCCCAGTGAAGAAGGATGATAGAAACAAATTGAAAAATTTTTTGATAGCTAAATGGTGTTTTTCTGCAACAGATGTCTAATTTCTTAACACCTGCATTCAAGTCAAATTTTTTATCCAGCTCTACTTTCCTTTTCTCTATCCAATTATGAAACTGATATTATATACAAAGCCATTATATTTTCTTGCAACAACTTAGATATTTTCAGCATCCTCGGAGGATATGAGCATTTACATTCAACAAATGTGCAAAGAAAAATTTTTTACTAGCTTGAATTAATTGATTTCTGTGATAAACCTTCAAAATCACTTTTGCTAAGCCCCCTTTCCATAGAGCCTTTGAAATAAAATAAAACCCCTAGAGGCTTGATCTATCTTCCAGTAAGATCAAAGCTGACAATTAAAACTCTTTGCAAAAAAGTTTAGAATAAACATTACTGAGCAGAAATTTTCTCACCTGTCTTTTTCATACAGAGATTCCTTTGTTCCAAATGTGTAGTTGCTTAATGGGTACCTTTGGAATACAGAAAACAAAACTTTAACCCCTGTAACATATATAACAGTTGTACAAATTTACCATTCATCTGTCATGGGGATAGAAGTGTATAATTGTTATAAATTGAGTTTAAAAAGCAATTACACATTGTATAGTGATGAAAGTGTGTTTGATGTATAATGAATCTATAATGTATAATAATATTGTAATGTGATTGCTGTGGTTTAGAAAAACCTGCATTTAAAATTATGGAAAACATAGTTGCACCACTATGTCATCCCAACAAAATGTCAGTGTAGACCACATCCAGGCAGATGCTTATCTCATGCCAATGTCATGCCAAAAAAATAATGCCAGATCAAAGACTTTTGGGATTGCACCTTATTTTTTGCATATGTTCAGATGACAGAAGATCCTTGGTGAGTTGGAGAGAGTGGATAACTTCGGCTAACTAAGGTGACAGCATAAATGGTAGCCAGGGTTGTGAACTAGCTGCGATAAGGAGAGTAAGCCTCCGCTATGCTGTGTGGGAAAGGGTACATTTGGAAGCTAAAAGGGCTCGTATGAGTACTGTCATGAAATATGGAACAGAAACCTGGGTGGTGAGATCAGTGGAAGGAAGAAGATATTTTGAGATAGTAAATCCTTTAAAAACTGGTTACTTCCCTGATATTAGTATGAATACAACCAAGAACTCTGTTTCATTCCGTTTTAATGAATTCATTCCAAATCTCTCTTTCATCTCTCCTCAAAATCTCTATTTCATCTTTACTTCATCAAACTCATCCTCAATTAGAAGCCACTGTGGCCCTCCTTTTCCCCCCTTTTATGTAATTTTCCTAGTAATTATGTAATGTCATTTTTTCCTGTTACTTTGTTCTGCTACTGGGCTTGATAACCGTCCAATTTAGAAGGGCATTGGGCTCAATCAGGGTCCAGGTTTATTTCAGTGTCCTAGGCAACACTTCACTGGCACATTCTTTTCATAATCTTTTACTTCTTACGTTTTACTTCTTTTACTTTTTACTTCTTTTTCATAATCTTTTAATCGTTTATGACAATAGATGTGTTTAAGTAAAAAGATCTTTCTACCTTGAAAAGAAAGACAGGCAAGAGGGGAGAAGCTAAAAAGTTTTCTGGGAGGCGTACAGTATTGCTTTTTGCTGACAAAAAGGGTGTCTCACTCTTTTTAGGTGTGGTCATAAGATAAATAATTTCATATGCTGATTTTTTGTGTTTCTATTTCAATATTCAAAGTTCTAAAATTTCAATTATTTATTGTGCCACAATTTGAAAGTTGAGCTGCCACAGAAATCTTAATATGTTTAGCTGCTAAAAAAAGATAATTTATGATTATACTACAGGGTGAGAAAAAAATCATGTGCTGACAAACAAAGTATAGAAGGAATGCGCCCTTCTCTCCCTGTTCTTGACTCTCTGAGGTTCTGGCACCCAAGGTAAACTGAACGAAACAGATAAACCTGTGAACTGAGCAAAGCGACGGAGCTCGATTTTTTACATTTGGAGGCAAGAACTTAAGTCACAGAGGAACCTTCAAAAATTTACTCTTTGCAGTTGATACAGAATTTGATACATGTTCATTATCTTGCACTGAATAAAGAATTTTTGAAATGTAATTAATTCTTTTTGAGATTCTTTATTTTTTTCTTTTATTAGCAATTAGAAGTTTTGTTTTTTATTACAAATTTCACAAAATAAATCCAAAAATTAATTGTAAAAGGGTGATAAGCTATAATGATAGGCATATCCAAGCCTTCTTATTTCATCTACCCAAAAGATAATTTTCAAGGTTTTGACTCCAAAAGATTTAAAAACTCATCAAACTGCAGTGACATCAAAGATCGTCGTTCAAAATGAAGGAAGTTTGAGTCTCATTTTGTAGCTTGGGATACTGCTTTTCTCTGCTTGATTTTCCATTGGTCAAAATTTTGTGGCTCTTTTTGCCAGGGTACTTTGTTGGCAGCATCTACCTTGCTCAGCTCAGTGCTGAAAAGCATTGTGTGGACTGGTACACAATTGATATTGGTTTTCAACATGAATGCACAGGTGCACAGATTTTTTGGGGACATTTTAAAATGCTAAATAAAGCAACGGAAGGAATTTGATAGATGTTTAATGCCATAAAAATGCTGTAAAGCAAGGAAGTTACCAGTAAAGCGTTTGTAGCATGCATATAAAGTAAATTGATCTGATACTGTGCAAATCAAACTTTATTCGAAAAACTTTGATGAAACAAGGGGTAACATCAGATATAAAAGTTAACAAAGGTCAGTATGCCTTGCATATCTTAACATACAGCTTTATTGTAGGTAAAAGTTGAACTCCCTCAACAATCTGTGCAAGCCTTAGTTACAGTTTTTCAGGGCTGTCAAGAATCTTTAAAAAGCAATTCAAAGATTGGCTAAAAATACTTAAAGGACAAGTGACACGCTTTTGGCGCCAAATTTTTTTTTTCTTTTAACTTAAAGTAAAATGCTGTATGAGAGTGTTGTTGAAATATTTTTCCTTTCTGAATTCATTTTCCTACTTAAAAACACTTTTAAAATTATGGCGGGAAATGAATCACGTGACACCGTGACGTAGATTGTGATAATTTGTTATTGCTTGTTATTGTATACAGTGCAATATTAATGTTTACAACACGCTTCTAAACGAATTTAGTTCGTCTGGAACTGTTGCGTCGTGTTTTGTAGACTCTCTAATAATGACAGGAAAATTCCGAGTTATCACAATGTACGTCATAGGGTCACGTGATAAAAAGCGAAATCGCGCCCCCTGCGCCCCCTGATTATAATTTTTTGTTCTAAACCAGGAAAAACTTACTTCTAAACGATGATCTATAAGTTAATGAAAAGAAAAGATAGGGTGAAAAGTGTGTCACTTGTCCTTTAAGAACACTTGGAATCATTATAGGTGAGAAAATATTTGCAAGAAATGTACTAAAGCCTTCAAAACAATATCTTGATCAGTTTATCATAATACCATATAAGACAAGTATCACCTTTTTGGATTTCCCAATTTATTTGCCAGTTCTGAGACATGAAGATTAAGTAATCTTGCTTTTCCTGTTACAATTTTTGGAATATAAATGCATTTTTAAATAATTGCCTTTGGAAAATCATGCACATAAACTTTAAAAGGCCAGGGCCACATGGTACAGAGCACTGAAATCATTGTGGCATTCCACAGTTTTTGGGAAATGACTACCCTTAAATTGTATGACAACATTTTTTATAAATTGAGGAGTGAATAATTTTAAAACAGCTACAAATATTTAAAGATAATGACGTAACGGAAGGAAAAAGCACAAAAAAGTAACAGAAGGAAGTTTTTAAGATACCCTATAAGGTTGAAAAGACACTTCTATTGAACACTAGTTTGTGTCAGCAATCTTATTTGGACAGAAAGAGATAGTTCAACTATATGATATTGGTGAGTTGGCTGTCAAATGCCCAGAGGAAAACATTTTTCATATATATAAAGCAGTCCTGGTAATATGAAATTTGTTGGCGTTCTGGTAATCGCACGTCTTAAAAAGTTTAGGCGTGCAAAGGTATGCGATGACGTGTGATCCATAAAATGGAGACCTTACAATTTTTACGAAGACCTGATGTCATCTTTGTATTAGAAGGTGTGTATCACCGTTTGAAAAATCGTATGACCAAAAAGTTCTTATGGAATTTAAGAATAAGTTTCTTGAGAATAAAATAATTTAACAAAAAGAATTCAAGTTTTTAAGGACCTGTTGCCATTACTCCGTTTCCATATGAGAAGGGATTCAAATGAATCTGATTTAGATTTTGGGGTCCATCAATACGCTAAAAGACAGAGTCATTTGATAGCAAACTAAAGTTATTCAAAAACGCTGTTCGTAGAGGAGTCATCCGAAAATGGAATCATTTGAATATGTGTCGCTTTATTGGGAACAGCAAAGACAGAGACATGCAAAAACAAAGTCATTCAATCTCAGTTTCAAAAAGAGCTTGAGAAAAAAAAGGTCCATGCCACAGAGAGCGGGGTGGTCATGGCCCCCAACCTTTTTGCGAATCAAGTAGTTTTAAAGCTGTAGTAAAAGGGGTAAGAAGCCTGGGCCCCCTACTTTTTCTAGCCTTGGCCCCCTAAATTTGTGGTGTGGACCTCGCAAATGATATTAGAATGGATAAATATGGAGTAATGAAAACACCCACGTTATCGTTTTGACCAAAACAGAGTGGCACAGGGTAATATGTTCAAGAAAATGTGAAAAGAACGGAGAGAGAGAACGGATACACACAAAAAGGGAGTAATGGAAACCGGGCCGCTAGAAATGCCATCAATATAACCCACATAAAAGAAATTAAAAATTACTTTAGAGAAAATAAAAAGAAACTAAAAAACAAATAAGAAAAAGAGAAGTAATACAAAACGTGGAACTGTGCATGCGATAAAAAGGACAGAGTTTTAGGTGTGTATGGATGTGATCGCATGCCTAATATTACCAGGACTATATTAAGTAAAGAAAGGAATTTTGTTACTCCAAGGCATACAATGCTTCTCATTCCAAAATAGAGTATATTATAGTAATTTACAACCAAGCCACCAAAAAAAATACTCTAAAATATTTTAAAATATGTGCTTTGAAGAAATTCTAGCTCAAATTCACCTCAAAATTTAAACTTGAATATAACCAAAAAAATACATCACACTTCAGATATGAATTATTCCTAAACTTCACTGGCTGTAGTTCAAAACATAGTTGAGATAATTCTTGGCTTTAACTTTTTTTATATTGTTTAGATATCATAGAATCATGTAAATGCCATCTATACTCTTGGTTTGTAGGTTAAATTTTTTTCAAAATCCCCCCCCCCCCTTGGCTTCATGCCTGACCAAGAAAAGTTCAGAGCATCAAAAAGCCATAACTGTTAGGTCAGTTTGGAGAACTGAAGTTGTTGCAGACGATATGCTATATTAATATGATATACTATTTTAGGCCATCCAAATTATGAATATATTCATAATTTGGATGGCATAAAACATTGAAATTAGTCACCACATTACTTAGCAAAAATAGTAAATCGACACATACAGATTAATTGTCTTTTCAACTGCAGCTTCGTGTCCAATATTATGCCTCGCGATGCTTCCAAGGCGACTTACAGGCCCGCGAGCCGGATACGTTCTTCCTACAGTGGTCGCCATTTTGACTTTTTAAAGCATGCTTTGTTTCTTTTGCGCATGCTCCATTTATCCAAAGGCAACAGGGATCCAATAGATCTTGTCAGCTACCTGTTTATGTGTATGAAGAAGGAATGCATATTTTTGCCTTCATAGTTGTCCTTTGTAAAATTTCATCTTTATCAATATATATGAATATTTATATAAATGCCAAATCGATTTGCGAAAAAGAAATATATTTTCTGACCCTAATAAAGTGAGGTCGGGTGGTGCGGAGAATTCTGGGAGATACTTTATTCAATAGACTTTCTCCTGAAGATCTTTCGTTAATGTAGTGGAAATTGTCTAAAACATGCGTCTACAGCCCTTTTGAGGACTTCCCCATTTTACGGCAACAGCCATTTCTCTATATTACCGCTGGCCTATATTACGGAGCTCCGCACCACGGCGGTTGAATAAAGTGCCCCAAAATTCGAAATTGCCGCTCGTTTTTGTCCCCTTCTCCATTTTAAGACCATATCATTCCAACCAACCTTTACCACCCGATTTACAACTGCAGCTCAAATCGAACCGCTTCGTAATTCTTTAATGTATCTTAAGCAAACATAGCTGTGTTTCTGTGTCAAAAAAGTGATCAATGAAAAGTATCTGGTACCATGCAGAAGGTGAAATGTTTAAGCAGTGTTTGGGTGTAAATGCAAGGGAATATATTTCCATGGACATGGAGGATTTTATGCTTTTCAAAACCATTCATCGCTGGAGCCTTGAATATTTCATGTAATGAGATATATGGGAGTACAGGAAATTCTAAACCAGGTATCTAGTATCGTAGACTGGGAAAAACACAATAGTAAGAATTCTGAACCATTGCAAGGAGCTTAGAAATGCTAACGGAAAAGGAAGCAACGGTGTTGGGATCAATTTATGATAAATAATTGACGGTCATGCATCTGGAAACTCCAAAAAATCGAATATTTGATGGACTGCAAAGAAGAAATATTCCCAAACAAAATGAACTAGATTTATTTCAAGACAGGAAGATTTTCAAATACGAATCTGCCTAGCAATTAACTATTTACATCTCATATCTGATTAGCCAAGAGTACAAAGCTTATACATACTGCATCATTTTTATACCGTACAATTTGTTTTAAACAAATGTTTTGCAAGGCTGACATCTGCCTAAATTAGAAAGAATCTGAAAATCACGAAACAGGAAGTTCGTGAAGAATCCCAATAGCGCATAAGCATGGTACCGTGTTATAACGGTAGTTCAGATTTTCTCTGGACAACTCTCTCTTAACCTCTCTTCAAAAATTTGATATCTACAACATCTCTTTTGCAGACAACTCTTTTGAGGATTTTTCTATTATTAACTGGTAATTTGTATAAAAAAAATGCTTTTATAGTTATAATTCAAGGTTGAAGTGTATTTTAACTTTTAATCACATTCTGGGGATACGTGATGGGCCTTGACCATTTAAAAAAGACTGTGCATATATCTGAATAAGTTACTGTTGCAAACACGAATAGCGCAACGCCATAGTTCTATATTATCGAATTTGTCCTAACATTTTTGAACGTACATAAGTGGATGTATTTAAAAAAGCCTGAAGAAACAACTTAAGCGTGATGTGACCTGCACCCAGTTTACCAACAAAGTAACGTTGGTTTGACAGCATTCGTGAGCTGCACCACAAACTATCATCTAAGTATTTCAAATAATTACTTCTGATAATCAATAACGTTAAATTAGGAAAAGGTGTTTGATACATATAATAAATATAAGAAAACCCTTAAGGAATCCAAGGAACTTTCCAAATAAAACGTTTAAGTTTCATTTCTACACAATACAAAAGGTTAGGATGCCCGTCCATAATGTGGAACTGGAATCTCTCAATAAAATCTTTCATTTGATTGAAAAGCATATGTAGATTGCAGATTGCTCAACTGGTACTCATGATTAGCTGGACCTTCGGAAACGTGCAACTGGTAATTGTGGTTTCACAATCAAGGATTAAAAATGTCAAATTAATTGAATCATATCTTTTGCCTTTCGTGTTTCTCTTTCGGTAAAAAGATGAGTTTTGCCACGATTTGGGCAGGGTAAACAAAATAATTTGAAGAGAAATTGATAAAAAAAACAATGAACTCGCAAATCACTTTGATGATACTTATCTCTATCGATAATCTACAATATACTTTGAATAGAAAAGGTTTTATTCACATCAGTTATATTAAAAGGAGCCAGCGAGACTTAGGAATTCCATATCTATTTACAAATATGATCTGCAACGAATGCTGGGATAGGAATGAAATTCTTGGAAATGGTTTAAAAAGACAACGGTCTACCATAGCCACACAAGTAATAAACGTGTAAGTAGAAATTTAAATGTCACTTGCATCCTACGAATTTGGGATTATCTTAGATATGGCAGTCAGCTATATATTGTTATGACAAGAACATTCTGACAGTGAAAAATGATTAAAATACTCTATACGTCCTTAATTTTCGAAACTCCACAGTAAACTTCACAGCCAGCAAGGCATGCGTAGATATCTGCATCAAATTGAGGACTTAAGGTTCATTTGAGACGATGATGTCTGGAGATGATTGGAGAGGATCGATAATGGTTCAAAGATGATCATGATGATGCTGACTTTGATAATAATACTAATGACGGTGATGATAGATTTGAATAATGCATAAAAGTGTGAAAGTCACAAAATACATACAGGGTATAAGATGTTATTTGCTTTCTTGGAAGACCATGTCTGGCTAGGAGTAAATTGTTGTGAGACTGCCTCTGCAAAGTTTGCAGTACACGATATTAAGGAGTAGTGTACATACAGAATTTTGCAGATAATATTAAAATCAAGAACATATAAATCATAATTGATGACAAATGCAATCGCTATACCTAACAAGACTCTAACTGGCAACAGAATTGACAATTAAGATGCACAGAACACGGAAGTCTAAATCAGAAGAAAGTACAAATTACCGTCAGATTATGTTCTCAGAATGCTTACAACGCATCATCAATACCTTAACGCATTAGGGTTTAAAAAAGTGAAACTACGACACATAGCAAACAATTTCACACGATGAAACCGACAGACTATATAGGGGCAAATTAAACAGACAAAATTGTTATGGAAATCTTAGAACAGATTTCTAGGAAAAGCAGTGTGTTTCGTGGTGAAATTAGGACCTATATAAAGACATTCATCATTCGGAACTAATAAAATATTATGCGTTTGCAGTTACAAGTTGAAAAAACATTCTGACAAAAAGGCCCATGTTAGCTTCCAAAAGGGGGTCTCGAAACAGCTTCAAATCAGAAAAGTGATCTAAAATCATGATCCTACTTATTCTATAGTAAAAATTGTTCATAATCGTGCAAGAGATTAACTTTGAAGCAATGAAATTTAGCATTCGATTTACTATTCCTTACTTAAAAAATTTGGGTGTTTAAATGAGTAATGGAAGGAGATGCGATTGTCGTAGTTACAAGGATATCGTGTTCTCTAATCGAAACGTCGTTTAGAATGAATCACCTTCTGTTTAACCATATTAATTTTTTCCACCAACTTCCCGCTTCCTCAAGGTTGCACGTGACTCATGGAGCACCCTTCTAAATAAAATTCAAATTGATAGCTACCACATTTGAATGCGAAAAACAGACTTCGCCAAATTCTCCTGCGCTTGCCCGAGTTAAAAACTTAATTCTCTAAAACTACTTCCGATGCTTAATATGGCTTGCAGTTCTGCACCAGCACCGTTCTTTAATCAGGTAGCGGACGCGTGTTCGCGCTTTCTGAGCCAATCAAGGCACATCTTTCTTTATAACTGTACCATTAGCAAAAGGATATTGCACTCTTTCTTGTGGTTTCAGGCCAACCTTCATGTGTTTTGCAGGGGGCGCTCCATCATCCTCGTCTGTACGATTCTCGTTTCCCTCCGCAGCAGTCTGCCGCGCGGCACACCCTTGACAAAAGTTCGTTGCTCCTGCTGTCGAATCCATAGTAGGCATGACGGCGGGCAGCGGTGATAGTGACAATGCCTCAAGCTGATCTTGTACACCAGAACCTGAAATATAAAACAATCATTACATGAGGGCACAACAACCGGGAAAATCACAAGGACAAGAATGGCAGAACAAGCTTCAAGGCTGTTTAGAGGCGTATCGGCCGCGCGTGAAGAAGGTCGATTATTTGTAACAGAAGTTTCACAACCAAAGCACGCGTTACAGTGAGGCATACATGAAGCACCATTTGCAATGGGCAAGCGTCTGAAGACCTCTGCAATATAAGAATTCTTTGGCTTTCGTATTCCGCTTACGTTCAAAAGAATAAATCAACAAAAATTGTTGCAAGGTTCTTCACAAGTTAATCTTTCCATTCTTTTGACTTATTCGCTTTTACAAGAGTTTGACCCGTTGTTACTTTCCTTTTGCTTTTTTCTGAATTATTGATGTTTAAAACACGGTGAAAAGATGCAGTGTGCTTCGAAAGCATGATAAAGACAGCTCATTGAGATTAACTGATGCACACCGAGAATCAATAGCGATTTTCAAATTTTTTAAGCAGGTCATTACCCAATAGCTATCAAACTTTGTATGCAAGGTTAACAGCAACATAGCGAAGTTTTGTTACTACATGTGTCAGTACCATTTTGTTTCTTCTCAGCTGTCAATTTTGATCTTATTTATAACTGACAGCGCATATCTAAAGAAAACACGACTTTCATTTACTGTTTCTTGTTGCGCCCAAAAACGACGTCACGGATGACAGTATCATAGCCCATTGATAGATAAATTAAATGCCTTGGTGATAAAAGCATCGAATTATCATTCAAACAGAGACAAGACTAGAGAATAGATATACTATCACTGACTGCAGCAAACATGAACAACAAATTTTCCACTTTAATCGAGAATGGCCATGTTAACTGTTTCACTGCATATTGGTAAGCTTGTTATATACAAATCACATGAACTTCCGAAACAGTTTACGTTCATAGCATCGCTGGAAATTTTCACAAGAAAACCTTGCAACACGGGTCACTGGCAAAATCAACAGGACAAAGCCACATATGAACAACTGATTCTGATTGGTTAAATTGCTGCAAGACGTAAACAAACCCTCTGACTGGCTTCACAAGATTCATTTTACTCTGAAAAATTGCATAGGGGCTTAAAACTATATTTTTGACGGGACATCTTAGGACATCTCAATTGAAGGTCCTTGAAAGGATTTTATGCATATACACACCTCCAAGTAGCATCTCCTGAAGCAAATTGTCGACTTTTGCGACGCCAAAAAGCCGCGCGAATTGCAATTGCTCAACCATCTGCAGTGCCACTGACTGCAAGGTAGGCAACAACAGCAACAGTTCTCCGAACTTCCCCTTGGGTACATCATAACATTTGTCGTTGATGTAATCTTCAAGCGACGTGTGTACTTCGAATCTTAATGACTTTATCTTCTTTGGGTCGCTTAGGCCTCTGGCGTCTAGGAGAGGGATAATATAAGCTTTATAACTTGTTATCTGGATGCATATTGTTTGGTTAGATTCAACCTTGCAATCTACATGATTATTTGATAGCCATTTATTCATGCTAAAATCTGTCGCAATTTAAAGCTGCAACATTTCTAAGGAACAAAAGTACCAGTGAAGAGTTTACCCAACCCATTGAAATTATCCAAATCAACTCAACTCAAGTATCTAAGATATTGATACATTTACCATTAAGCTGAATTTAAACAGACGAAGAGCTCGTAAAAGACGCAGTCATGATGCTCCTGAAGTTTCTCCTTAAAAATCATTCACTGGCGAATTCAATCAAAGCGTTTTAAGGATGTATGGCCTGAAGAATTTTCAAGTTTTGATTAAGTGTCGCCTTCCTAACTCGATATGTCTTTTCAGGTATATATTCGAACATATTCGATACGAAATACAAAATATTTCCTAAAAATAGGAATAGTTGTTGATCCCATCTTCATAATAAGTCTTGATTACCCTTAAATGTACGTACAAAAGGGACTGGCAGCGGCTTTCGATTGATTGGTTACTAAAACAGCTTCATGAGGAACGCTTTGGAGCCAGATGTCGTTGAAATGGACATAAATTTAGATATTCCAGGCATGTACAAACTTAGGTGAGTTTTGATTTTTGAATTCCAGTAAGAGTTTAGATTTAGTGAGCAAATATCAAACAATGCGGAAGTACAATTAAGAGATAAACTGGTAAAGCCTTGTATCGTTATGAGCGGGTTTGATCCACGGTGTACTTTGAAGTTCCAGAAGCACATACCATTCTCAATTCTTTAATATTAAGTCATCATCTAGGGGCAACAGTTTTAAGTCTCTATTTACCACGCTGAAACATCGATCATAAAAATGGGCATAGAAGATTATGGATTAACAAGAGTATTCGAAACTGAATAAATTCAAAAGGGAGCGTTAGTCGGGATTAGCCAAACAGGCTTAAAAGACATTAACAGCGAATTCTTAATTGATAAAACATTGTTTCTCAAATCCAGCGCAACTGGCAAAAAAGCATGTGATCTAAGGCGAATGGCAAAACGTCACTAAACCTCACGAATTCCAAGACAATTCTTTGTGTAAATCTGTAATACGAGCAACGATCAAATTGTTCCACGTATAAGCCTCTTTTACTCTCATTTGCTTTTCACGTGGAGTAAGTTCTCTGACCTAAGATTGATCACATGATATGCCTTGATACGAGGCAGAAAGATTTTCTGCTAAAAAACTCTTGTCTGTGAAAATTTCTATGGTTTTTCTTGAAACAAAACTCCAAAAACCGCTTAATCGGCCAGACAACGAAGGACGATAGAAGAGAGTTTGCCACGTTGATTGATTCTACCAGTTCAATGAACGCAAAATCGCCATCCAACAAGCTCTCTTCGACAAGGGTGTGATGGCCTTGATGAAGGCATTCAAGCTCGATAAATAACGCATGGCAATATTTAATTCAAGGAACAGCGTCCTTGAATCAAGATTTATACTTCTCATTCATCTAGCCATGTTTCCATACCATTGATCATCAAAGTTGCTGAAGCAGTGTCAACTAAAATCAAAGATACTGCTGTGGCTGATGAAAAGAAATTTCAGTTCGATACCTTTAGAGGGCTACAAGGATTTTACGGGCAATGACCCGGCAAAGTTCTTCTATTCGTGGGCAATGCACCCAGTTCTCTCTATATCATTCCTCTAGCTTTTTTTAACATAATTGATCATAAATTCTACTGTAAAAGTGTCCTGGTGATTTCCCTTGATGAGAAGAAAACACAAATTTTTCCTAGGTAAAGCTTTCGGGAAACTTTCTTTTCTAATAATGCTCTATTTCAATGATAAACAACTACTAGAAAAATACGGGCCATTACAAACGACAAAGTAAAGTTGATTTTCCGAGAATGCCTTTTAAAAATTATCTGCAAATCAGAGTTTTAACGAAACATGAAAGCAAACAACTTTAGATGAAGAAATGATTCACACAACTTTTAGCCCAGACAAGCTACATGAAGATTCGACGTACAGGAAATGAGAATATCGAGAAAAGGATAATCGGCTTTCAATGTATACGGCTTTCAATGTATATCCCTCTTATATCAGACAAATGTCATGAGGTATCGGCCTGACTTCACTAATTTGCTACTAATTTGCCGTTAAAGACACATGCATAAGATACAAGGAACAATAATCCTAACATGGTCCTTTTTCGACGAACAATTTATTACATGTTTTAAGCCAACACTGCATCTAAGACCCTGATAATACTTTAATCACCGAACATTATGAGTTATCAAACCAGACGTCTCCAGTACAGCTATTGCTAACTGCCAAATATTTTTTCAAAAGAAAAACAACCCGTTTTAATAGAATAGGCTTGACCTTACTTTAGGACACTTCCGAAAACTAAACGTTATATTTCTCACATCATTTGCAAGCTAAAGGAAGTAATAAATAGAATCGCCAGGGTAAGATTACCCCGATATATCTTGGCTGTTCCACTGGCAGTTCAAGAAACAAATGGACTTTGGCCTTTTTAAAAGGTGAAGTATTCACGGTTGCCATACACGATTCCAAAAATTAAACGTTATATTTCTCACACCATTTGCCAGGGTTTATTTCAACATGCAGTGACAACCAATCTCTGTGGTGATAAATCGTAATTTTACAGTGATAAGCTAAAATTTTGTGCAATGATAAATCTAAAATAAAGAGATTTGGTATTGAAAAAGTAAAATCGCAGCAGATACCAGCAGACATTTAAAAAAGAGCATTACAGTATTAAAAACGGGAACACAACAGCACCAATGATCATAATCTATGAAATCTCTCTAAAATTTGTTCAGTATCTAGAAGCTATTCAGTTTGTTTCGCTTTTCATCTTCTCCCTTGAGATCTTTATTCTTGAAAACATGTTTAAACCTAGACTGCTTCTCCTTATCGAAATCTCTTGTAAGGCTTTGACGAGTGCTGTTGTAATTCGAAAGTTTCACATACAGTTAGTTTTGCAGGTGTGGTCATGAAAATATTTAAAAGGCAACACCAAAATCTTCAAAATTTTGAATATGTCATTGGTAGAAATGCCTTAAAATGAATCCTGCCATTTAATAACCAGGGTGAGACTTCCCCGATTTTGGATGTTTCCACTGTCAGCTCAGACACTCTCTATACAAAGTACCACGACAAACGAAAAGTACCAGAGTTTCTCATGAAAACCTTCCTTTGAGAAAATACGACTTTACACACTCCCCCCCCCCCTCCCTCTTCAAAAGAATGCAGCCTCAATCTGATATAAACCACCTTTACAAAAACTGTTATCCTAGCCACAAATGCAATTACCTGGATTAAAGAAAATGACAGCTTTCAGACATGCGTACTCAGTATCATCCAGCTCCAAGGTGACCATTGGCTGCACCAGCTCGTCCATTGTTCTGATCGCTATCCGACGTATGTCAGCCTCAGGGTGGCTTCTGCTGATAACGAGTTCGTTGCCTAGCAGCAAGGCATCCTTGATTGCCATTGACCTTCGTGAGACGCCAAGCATCAGGTGCTCGCTGGCATGGGCACGCAGTAACGATACCTGATCGTCCAATGGTAATTCACAGAACACCGGAATGTACTTGGCCCATTCGACTAGCACTAGCAGTTGTTGCTTCATCGATTCGACAATGTCGTTGCTTGTAGCTTCCCTGCTCAGATTCAGTTGATCTGAAAATAAACGAATGCGTAGGTTACGATTGTATTTGACGCGAATTGAAAATTGAATGATCACTGTAAAGAAAAACGATGAAGATTCGGCAAGCGCTTTACCATCTTCATGAAAATGAACTTTCAAACAACATTGACTGGTGGAGGTTGAGAAACTCTGCAGCAAAGACGATTTTAAAAAGTTATTCAACCTTTACCAATGGCGGACACCTGGGGGGCGAGGGGGCGACCGCCCCCAATACTTTTGAGGACAATGGTCTTTTGTTCTTAAACAATAGGAAATGTGACGTCATCTTATCGAGACAATAAAACATTGTTCCCTAATATTTGACCAAGTGTTCGCCCCCGATCTTTTCCGATACATATGCTAGTGTCATTAAGATAACTACATGAAGCTTTTAAACAGTTCAATAAAAAAACAGTAAAAGCGATTCGAAATATTTAGTTACAAGTAGGGAAACAGTAGTTGGGGTGTATCTTTGAAAATAATTCACACCAGGTTTAATCTAATCCATTTAATGTATCTAGGTGTTCAAACAAATAACTTTTGAAAAAAGTAAGTTTACATCTGTAGGGGCCTCAAAATGTGATTTTGCATAGCGGGGGTAGTTAAATACAGCCATCTACCATAAAGGGATTTCTAAAGACCTCCTTGATGTCTTGAATGACCTTAATTGGCTTGTCTGTAAATTTGAGAATGAAAACAGCTTCAAAGATATAAACATCTTCTAAAAATGTATGTAAGACAGTTTTTTGAAAAAGTAAGCTTTGGAACAGCTGACAAAAGGAAAAACACTAACAACTGCTACTTTGTGACATATAATGTTAAAAACTGACAAGTGAAGAAGGCAAAAGCAACTTATGGAACAAGTGGAATAATTGTCTGGAATTATTTGAAATAGCCTACTACCTGAAAATTGTGAGTTAATTAATAATTTTTGTCAACAAATAGCTCCCAGCCCCTATATCTCCTACATCTATGGGAATGAAAATAAAACCAGCAAACAATAAACTTAATTATTATATAAACTTAATTATTATAAAATACATATCATAGTACTCTAGGTAAAAGAAATCATATGCATGCAACATGCAATGTCAGTATAGAAGACTGTTTTGTAATAATAAATTAACAAAATGTAATTTCTGAAAATGAGAAAATAATTTCTCCATTTCTGTTGTTGACTAGTGCTGAAAAATTTAATCTTTAATGACAACATGAAGAATTATGAGTGTCCATTCAGCAAACTCTCGATGAGTTTCATCCAACCACAATTCACAGAGCCATTTAAAGGAAAGCTTATCGGCTAATTTAGTGAACTTTCTTAAAGGGTATACTTGGTCGGCCAAATTTTTTTTGCATGAAGCTGGATTTCAAAGGCACAGCTGCAAACAATAGGAATACTTTTCCTGTGCAACAAAAGGTAGCTTCTCTAAATGTGAATGATCAACTTTAGAAAAACAGTTAAAGGCATGACCTAAGCAAACATCAGATATAACCTTCAAGTAGGAACCTTGAGGTACAATTAAATCCCATCCTGAGTGGTTTAAAGGCCAGATAATAGAAAGCTTTGCAAGAAAAAGAGGGTCAGTTTCAGTAATGTTTAATCAGCCACTAAAATGTTCACAGACAGCTTTTTGCTGTGACCTGGATAATAACATTAGATATTGCTTTCTTTTTAGAATATGAATGCACCGATGAAGATAAGATTTTTACAATGGAAAATTAAGAGAAGACTTGAATAAAGAAGATAAATCAATTCAATTTTAGAGAAAAGGGATAAATTATTACCAATGTTGGTTGTGACAATGAGAATGCTTTGTTAATTTTTTGGGATACACATATTTTTTGGGACAATTTGAATCAAAGTTGGTCAAACAGGCCAATGATTTAAGTAGCTGTCATAAATGACATTGGTAAAAAGACATCAATTTCTTATATCAATGCATTGCTTTCTAACATAAAAAGTGAAAAGAGTACAATAGTGCTTTAACAAATAAGGAAAAGGTTAATTTAGATATTTTCAATGATATCACCTATTATGCTCTATATTTATGCTTGCAAAGAGTAAACCAAACTGGGTAAGCTAAGAAAGATTTGCTAGAAAATTAGCATTTATCAGGCTAAGCAAAGGTTAAAAAGATGAAAAACTGTCAAAAAAATTGTGACAAAAAGATCAAGCTCTGAACCATACCTGGTGGAGACTGAGCAGGTCTGGAAAGAATTTCTGCTGACAAAAGCACTTGCGGTGAAAGTAACTTGTCTGATTCATCACAAGATTTTCTTGTTATTTTGTCTCTTTCATTTTGTACAGCTGTGGAAAGTTGAAATCTGTTTATCTTTAATGTAAATATAAAGGAAAAAACCAAGTTTTTCACAGTATGACCCTACCACATATAACTCACTTAACTGTAACGGAAGTTTTCCATTACAAAACAAATTATTTATCTTAGTTGACTGGTTTTGCAAAACGTGGGGGGGGGGGTGGGTCATCTCTTTGGCCTGAAAGCCAACAGAAACCCTGATACAAAGATTTCATAGACATCAACTGAACTAAAATCCTCATAGACAAGATTTGATAAAGTTTACTCAGATTTTATTCATTACCATGAAGCATCTTTGTATGTATAATGTATCTGATACAGAAAGCAGTATTGCCAACTCACTTCAATATTCAACTCCAAAAATAAAGATAAGGTACTGGTAGTCATCAAAGCAGTTTATGATAAAATATTGTCAACAACTAAGGTTAAATTATCTCTTATCAAACTGGGTCAGTGTGACTTTTAAAAAAACTGGTCTTTATTTAGAAATAAAGATGAAAATATGTTATTTAAAAACATTTTATCAACTGATACCTTCTTTTTTCATGCCAACACTGACACACTTCTTCAACCTGCAGTAACGACATTGGTTTCGTTTGTCCTTCGTTATAATACAGTCCTTTGAGAAACGACACGAATAAACATGATTTTTCCTGACACTCCTTCTAAAAAACCCTTTGCAACCATCACAGCTTACAGACCCATAGTGTTTTCCTGTTGCACGGTCTCCACAAATCAAACACAAGCTAATATCATCTTCCCCTGCAAAAATGTTACTCGATTACGTGACCGTCACCGACAAAACAGGAAGGACAGTAATTGGTAAATAAAAACATTCGCTGAGCCAATGCAGTCGTCAATACACTGAGAGATGTGCTGCCTTTGCTCTTTCATTAATAATGACAACCTTTTCTAAGTAAAAAATATAAAGGAGGGAAAAACGATTCAACTATTCAAGGACCAGCCGCGAAGGGGTGTGTGATCAAATGGCCCAGGCCTACCCAAGTTTCGATTTAAAGAAAAGCGAGAGAGTTCAATAATGCATAAGTTATTGAACAAAATAATAATCGTCATTTATTGCTGCGAATTATAAGCCATTCTTGGTTTGAAGCCCTCTCGTGCTTTGCAAAAACTTAACCTTGCAAGTCTGGGATTTTCCAAAAAGACTCTGTGCTGGCGGTAGTAGAAACGCACTGTTTCTGGAGATATTCAAAGGGTACTACCGCTTTAAAAACCTATTTTTATGTCATAAATATATTCAAGTTAACAGAAATGGTTAACAATTCTGGATAAAATTAAGATAATGTAGGGGATTTGAAGGAAAATATATGGAAGAAATTCGAGTATCATTATTGGCAAAACCACCTTGTGACTGCCCCAGAGTGACGAGGTGCATTGTCTTACATAAGGAGTCTGCTGGCGCTCAATCCAGAAAACAAATCGGAATAAATTGATCCAACAAAGGACGGAGAGAGCAGCAGCAGCACATAAAGACAAAACCATTAGTTTTATTATACGTGACTTTCACTCGAACTGGGCCTAAACTAAACTTACCGGCTTCACTCGCTTCTTCTGAGTCCTCTTTACGACTCATTTTGAATTACATCTTTCAGTTCCTCCTTCTCTAATTTCGAAGATCTAACGACAAAAAAAATCATAGAATTTTAAATTATTAGGACATGATTTCTGCACACTCTCGAGCTATGTCTCTAACCCAACATGTAACACCGACCAACTTCAGGCCCTCACGGATTGTTTCAGGATCGACTTCGTTGACGATGATTGGCTTATAGAATCTATTGCTAAATGGCGATTGGTTGAAAAATAGCTTCTTTTGTTTACATAAACAATACTCTCATGTGAGCCTCTGTCACATGACAAAAACAACAACACGATTAATATCTTCAGTTTTGATGATTTTTCATTTCTCCCTATTGAATTACACATTCCATGGATTGAGTTCATTGGGCTCATTCTAGAACTCCCTGAATAGCAGGCAATTTTCGTCAGGATATTTCTATCAGCTTCATTTATCTATATTAGAAAATTGAAATATCCATTTATAACGAACACTTGCCTGGTTGGGGACACGATTCGCTCCCTTGGGACGTAAAGGAAACGTTTCTAGCACGTGACACTTGGAATCGTGTAATTTTACGCGTGTTTTCTTGAAAGCACAATTTTTTCCAAAAGTGAACGTAGAAATGGATCTTGCGTTGAAACAGTAAGGCTGTATCTTTTTGCTCAAAACCTTGCCGTAGTTAGTTTTGTAATATAGAAAACAAAAGCAAACATTTTCTATATCAAAAGTATCTACTACAGTTTCTTGACTCTGCCCTGCTCACCAATATCTGGAGTCTTTCGTATCCAAAAGTTTTTGGCAAGCAATGGCCCTTACGCAAGACAGATTTTTGCTATGAATGCTTGAAAAACACATCAAAAACAAAACTTCTCGACAGAATCATTATTGCATGCATTTTTATAAGCATCTGAAAAACTGGCTTAGTACTTAAAGTTGCCTAGCAAATATTTTGGGGTCTGAAAGTTTCAATGTGGTTTTCTTAACATTGTTTATCTTTTTCGTAAGAGACATCACTTTTAGGATAATTCTTTAGGGTTTCACTAGAATCTAACACTATTTTAAAGTTCTTGCCTCATATTTTTTTTGAAACATTTTTTTTAAAAACTAGAAATGCAATTAATAGCTGAACATAACATAAAAAAGGAAAGTATAGCTAAAATTTTGTTGGTTGTAAGAGCATTAAACGTCAATGATCGAAAACTTAAGCTAAAAATTGTGTAAATTTTGATTGACAACCTCAATCTTTAAATTGTTAAATTGTAAGTTTTAAATTGTTCGCTTTTTCAAAGCAATTTTCAAACTATTTTTCATCGATTAAAGTTTCAAAGTAGTATGATTTCATTGCAATCCATCGCAACCTCGGATAACTCGACCATTCGCTAAGTCGAACTGATTTTGCGTTCCCTTTGAGCCCCTTTGAGCATTGAGCAATACTTTCAGTCCTCCTCCCCCTCTCTCGCCCCTTCAGTCCCCTTCCCCCTCTCTCGCCCCTTCAGTCCTCTTCCTCCTCTCTCGTCCTCCTCCTCCTCTCTCAAACCTTCAGGTGCATCGGAAGGACTTAAGGCACGTGACACTTTCTTCCACCATCTCAGCAAGCAATATGACCAAGAGATAATCTGGCTATTTCAGTTTGTTCATTTTACAGATCATTAATAATCCGTTTGGTATATCACATGTTTGTGTCAAAATCTCGTCGCTCCATTCAATGGTGGATGACGAGAACAAACACTGCAAAAGTCATTGGCGGATTGGGCCAGCCACAACTGAATGCCGTGTGTACATAGAGAAATGCCACAGTTTGTGATAGGATACCAGCATTTGCAGCAATGGGAGGGCCAGCAGCGGAAACAAAGGCAAGCACCGAATCGATTCGTGTTCACAAGCTTTTTAGAGTTGTTTAGGGGGGAATATGATCCCCTCCCTTTTTCAATTTTTTATTGTTCCTCTGTTCCTTTGATAAAATCAACTTGATTTTTCGAGTTTCGCTACCACACTTTCCAAACTTATAGTCGATTTGAAGACTATCCATGGCATTTATCAAAATGTAGCTAAAATGCAAAGAAGCTTGCGTCGTTTGTGGGCAGTTAGCACGAATGGAGCATTTCTGAGCTGGGGCCCAAATTCTCTCTCGGCTTATCAAACTGCCAATTTCTACCAAATTAATGTCAGTGTTATAGGTTTAAGAGAAATCATGACAATAACTTGCTTGGGGGCCTGGAACCGATTACACCGGTCTAAAATAGCAAAAGGGGGCATTTGTCAGCTTAGGCAACATCCTTTTCTTCTCAGTGTATCAAACTGCCCATCGTTACCAAATTTCATGCTGGTATCACATTTTGCACAATTCATGTAATAGGAGACCTGACCTGTCAATGACAGATAGTGCTGTGTTGCAAAGGCCTTAAATACAATCATCCAAAAACCCATTTATTCATGACAAATATGAATTAATATTTTTCTAATTCAATTAGAAACAACAAAAAGAAGCAAAATAACGTAAATATATAGTTTTCAAATAATTTTTTACAAAATTTTCAACACCACAATCACACCTTTACAAGATATCGTCTTTTTACTTAACATCCAGGTTGAAAACTAAAAGGACTGTAGGGCTTAGAAACGAACAGCTGATCGGATCAAAGAAGGACGTTTATAAAACAAAAATCCTTGTACGTCATTTAATCGTGTCGAAATATAAACTTTAGACGACAATGTCTAAGCGATGGTCAGCCCCAGCAAAAAATTAAGATCTGAATTACAATATGCGTAAACTAATAACAACATCTATAATTTTGTTTTGAACCGTAACTTTAATTACAGTTAGAAACGTGTGTTTTATACTCCGCATTAAGGCAATGTACCCTGGCTGGGTCTCGAAATATAACAAATTCTACAGTCAAAGAAACATCTATGGTATAAACCAATTTTTATATCTATATACAAATCACTCTTAACTAACACTTATAGGTAATCTTCTTACTGAATCATGTCTTTTGATGCTAGTTTTCATGCTTTCAATTTTATATTATTCAACTTCAACTGAACGGTTAACAGCGAATATTCGCTGGTGTTTGGTGTCAACAATATTAGTACAGTGTAAAAACAATGGCTTGAATGGGACGGAAGGTCGAATCCGCGGGAACACCCCGCTAAAAATATACTGACATTCGAAAAACTCAGTTACTGATCATAATTTGATCCCTAAAAGCTTTTTATCCTTAGACTGTTGGGCACTGTCCCCCGGCCAGTTGAAGACAAACCCAGAATACAATCTGCTGCTGAATATAAACTAAAAACTTTTATGCAAATGATGCTTCATGTTGTCAGTTTTCAACGACATTTCTAACGCTTAGTAAATGTGACATCAAGAGCATGTTCTCTCAGAGTATAATGCTGAGGTTATATACGTAGTGAGCGCAGACTCTGGGGCCACACCATTTATAGATCATCAGGATATTTTTTACAATACACAAATCGAAAAATTATTCATTTATTATGGTTACAGTTTTTGGAAACTGGAAACGTCGGTGGGGGGGGGGGGGGGTGAGTGGGATGGGGAGAATGGGGCACAGTACGGTCAACCTAAAGGCCAGTCTCCATTGGGCGAAATTTTTTGAAAGGTTATGCGCATGCGTATTCGAATTTTTCTCGCTTCCTGTGCTGCGTGCGACGTTCGCATTGAAAGTCCCAACTATTTAAACCTTTTTCTCTGTCGCCGGCGAATTTCACGTCCTGTGTGCATAGAGCAAAATGTCTGAGCCCCAAAGCAGCTTCGCGTTGGATGAGAACATAATAACATTTCTTGTTACTAGTACGTTACATGTTTCTTTTATAATCCTATCAACAGTTCTGGGGCTAATCCTATAGCTCATGCCAACTAATACATGAGATTCACCAGCAACGAGGTAAGAGTCGCACATAATCTCTCTTTAGAACCTACTGGTTGGCGAAACTTCGATTCCTTCACTAAGTATGGAACCACCAAAGACAACAATTGCATACGAAAATAGGTAAAAAATAGTTGGTAGTCATATAATTGTAGATCTACAACCAGATTTCTGTTTTGTTTCTTACGCTTCAACAAATAAAGCAAAATCAGACTATATGTGTATTCTCATCCGACATCTTGAAATTCTGCTTTCTATTTGGCATGCAAAGTTATTGTGCGCTGGAGGTTGTGCGCCATGTAGTTTTCGCTTTTCGTCAGCGCAAAAGCAAAAAAAATTTCGCCCAATGAAGATTGACCTTAAGGATCGGTAAGCTGGCTGCATCAGCAGTGGCTGAGAATTTTGTTGATTTATACGTATCCAGTGACGTTTTGCATGGAAGGGCAAGGACTGGTCAGGTGAACAATTATCTGTGCTGTGCTCAAAACAGTGTCGAGGTTTTTATGCGATAAGCTAGCAAAAACAAAACGTACAATACAAAAGACATTGGAAAGCTCGTATTTGTCTATATTACGATGATACTATAGTCACGTGCCGAGGAATACATCAGAGGAAGGCAAAGAAGTATTAAGATAACACTTCACTGCCATGTCTCACCTCTGAAGAAATTTAGGATATTTTATTCAAATATATCGCTGCTGATAAAATATCAGAAAAATAAATCAGTCGATAAAGTTTTCTTCTTTCGATTACGCGCATATCCACAATTTTCCCAGCGTTTTAATTGTGATTATTCATCCTAGTCCTTTACCAATCTGAATTGGCCTGTTGATCATTAAGTTAATAAATTACTAAACTGGCGACTCGATTCTGAAATGTTTTTACAAAAGCCATCTATCGATTAAAAATGTCTCTTGTTATCTCAATCTCTAAACAACTTCTCCTAAGGCGCAACGATCATTTCTAGCCCCTCTCCTGTTCTTTCAACCACCAGGGTTATTGGCTAAGGAAATGCTGATTTGCTTTCTCTGATGCAAACGAGGCAAGGGCGCTGGGTCATATCTACTTTCATTTGCACGTAGAAAATGGCTATGAAATTACACTCTCAACTGTACAAACTGAGACAAGCCAGTAGTTCGCTTTCGCTTGGAGCTTCTCTGGTCGCAGTCAAGGTCCTCTTCCATTCGTGAATACTGCCAGCGACCAATCACTTGATCCCACTGAAAAACAAATGACTGTTTTGTTATGTCGTTGCAATGGTTGCAATGGCAAGGAAAATTACAGGCAAAAATGGAACTAGGAGTCAGATACTTTAGTCGAATAAAAATCATCGATACACAATTGTGCAAATGAAGATTGCATTGAAACGTTAAACTGCAAGTTCATTTTCACATCACGTCAGCTATATATGATTGAACATACATTTGAAACCCGGTAAGTTGACTTGCAAGGGGGGGGGGGTTAGGAAAGGATTTGACTTAGCGAATCTCACTCATCCGGGGTAAGAATTTTGACTTGAATAGGAATAGCCAATGCGAATATAAAATCATTCTGACTTAGACCCCGTTTACACTGTGCCGGATAAATTTTATCCGCATCAAAATTAGTTCAGATAGGGCTCCCGTTTACACTAGACCCACGCTATCCGCACGAATTTGAGAGCGGCTATCCGGACAAAATTAGTTCACCTAGGAAAGTGGATTAAATTAGTTCAGATAGCTATGTGGTACAGTGTAAACTGTTTTATCCGGATAAATTTTCTCCACATCCGCTGCGAGGTTGATTTTGATTTACTGCGAGGCTCTTTCAATAAAGAGAAAGAAGGTGGCGCGAGGTGGCGCCAAATCTCATTTCCCGTAAACAGAATCGTGTTTTCACCGATCTGCACCTCGTCGTCGTTTTGACTTTACTTTGCGGGGACATGTACGAGCTCAGGAAAAAGGTCACAAAAGCGCTGATTATTCTTTTTTCTGGACTGGCTGCAGCGGCGAATTTCAATGCACGTGAAATTCCACGTGAAATTGGCGTCCTTTTCAGCTTTCCCTACTTTGTTGCCATTTCTGTGACGTTTTATTTCAAACAAAGAATTATTGAAACTATATTGGCCTAATGTGCTTTTACAATTTCCTCGGACTTCGTCTGAACACGAAGCAGTTGATTCTATAGAATGACGGAAAAGTCTTTGCACCTTTGGCGTTTTGGCGGGAATTGTGATGTTATTGAAAATTGCTTGCCTAGAGATGACCTCGTTTGGAGCGTTCTGTGAATGATTCAGGTCACGTGACTGTAGTTATCCGGCACTGTGTAAACGGCGTCTTAGTGAAAGTCAGAGTTAGTCGGGATATGAATTAACTTTATACCTTATAAGAGATTCTTCCCTAGAGAATACAAAGGAGAAAAGAATATTAGCGTGATTCTTCCCCTGAGAAAACCCTGAGAATAGTTACTTTCGCCGAAAAGTGATTAAGACTGCGTCTAATTAAGACAGCTTCATTTAAGGCTTGTGTACTGAATATACGTGATAATACGGGAATCAAAAACACGGTTTCAAAACAGAAAGTAAAAGTTGAACAAACCGATGAACTCATGATTGTCTGCTCATATGGATGCCATGAAATATCTCTTACACATTGTTTCTGAATGATTGTCAAGGAAAGAATCTGGCTGCTTAGGAGACGAGACATGCATCAACAGATATAGGCACTTTGGGAACGGCGTAAGGGGATATTTTAAAGTAGATATTGGTTAATATTTAAGAAATAAGCCTTAAAAACTAAAACTGTTTGTCAATCATTAGGATGGTATCAGTGGCGGACACTTGGTCAAATATTGGGGGGCAAGCCTATTGTTTTAATAAGATGACGTCACATTTCCCATTGTTTTAGAACAAAAGTCCATTGTTCTCTAAAGTATTGGGGGGCGGTCGCCCCCCCTCGCCCCCCCAAGTGTCCGCCACTGGATGGTATGAAGGAAACACTGGAAATCTGAATCTAGCAAGGGATACAGAAAAATCTCGACGAAGTTAATAACTATGGTCAGTGAATATTACAAAAATGTGTAAACGATTCGGAAAAGGCAAATTTGTCAAAACTGAATGCACTTCAAAGGGTGAATAATCTACAAACAAGGGGCAGTTAGAAAACTATCGTGACTTGTACGGGGCGATACCAGACTTGCATAATAGTCAATATTATTAATATATTATTAATTATTTTATTTATATGTGATTGATATGTGATAAGTAATATCTAATATGTGATAAGGTAATATGTAAAAAAATATCATACGCCAGAAATCCCCGTATTACCGTATTCTCTCTTGTATTCCCGCTGCGGGTTTATAGGTTAAACCTCCTAATCTAATGCGGGTTTTCAAGAGAGGCGGGATTATCAAATAGGCGGGAATACTTTTTCAACGTGCGTTTAAAAAGTGGGCTTAAATTATCACCATGTTCATCTGTGTTTTGGCGCGGAAACTTTGCATGTAAACTGCGAAGAATTTTGACGAAAGTTGGTTGGAAAAACGACGCTGATTGGCTCAAAAACTTGCTGCACAATTGCCCTTGCTGCACAATTGCAATCCATTGATTTATTTCTTTAATCAAACCCGCACGCGGGTATATCGGAGAGGCGGGATTAATATTTGAAAGTATAGATAAAAGGTGGGATTATTAGAGAGGGCGGGAATACGCGAGAGAATACGGTAAACCAAGAAGAACAAGAGAATCGTGAATGATGTAAGCATCGCGCAGAAAGTCTGCTTGAAAATTTAAAGTTAACTTTTGGAAGTCAAATAGCAAAAAAAAGAAATTCGACAAATGGACGCAGGGGGGGGGGACTGTTTTAAAACTGAAACAAACGGACGCAAAATATCCAAAGGATACATGACCCTTTAGCTTCGATGCGATTTTTCCAGATACAATGTCATAAACTGCAAACGAAAAAGAAACAATTTTAAACATTCTAACGCATAAAAACTTCGATACATCAAGGAAAAAAGAGCACGAAAATTATCTTTCCCAGTTTTACCTAAATCCTATTTAATGAAGTTATTCATCAAACATGAATTACGCCTTTTAACTCAATGCAGTGTTGGAAGCCTGTACCGAGACCTCTAACATTAATCTTAGAGCCTGGGGCTGAGTGCGAGCCAAGTAAAGATGGCATCATAGTCAGTCCATCGAAAATAAGAAACAAACACTTCCGTATCGCTATGACTGTTTCCTGATGACGAGCGAATAGCAATCAAAACAAATAATATTACTTAAATAATTCTATGATAAGAAAAGCCCTCAGTATCGGTGTTATGGCTGTGCACTCAAACTCTAGTACCTTGCTCAGTGGCAACACCTTAAAGTGTCGATCTTAAAGATACCAGAAAGATCAACAGAAAGGCCCCAAAGCGAAAAATTTGGAAAGCTTAAAGATGACATTCTAAAATGTCACGTAAAAGCTCCCATTAAATGCCACAATAGCGCGACTGGGATATATGCTAAAATTCATAAAAAATGAACTTACGGACAACATTTCCACTTGCACAACCAGCGTAAATATATTTCTATTAGAGAAACAAAAAGGTACGATTTCAATGAGATTGCCTGAAATACACCAAAAAGTAGGAGTTACAAAGTGAGATTATGTCGATTTTACTACTCTTTGGCAAATTGGCTCGATATACTGCGGCTTTTTAAGCGTATACTTAAAAAAACTTTTCAAAAACTATACAACAATTATTGAAAGCATTTTTTGAAAGAAGGATTACTCAAAAACTTCTCCAAAAATAACTTTGCATATTGAGTAATAGTCAATGAAAACAAAAAGAAAATTCGTAAACAAAATGGAGCAAACTAAAACCAAATACAATTCAAAATAAGTACAGAATACGGTAATATTTTGAATTTTTCTTCAAATAAATAGCATTGTTAATCTAAAAATAGTGACTAATGGTTTACAAATACAATTACGAGCAATTTTTCAAAATATCCCAAAAATATTGGTTCCCTTGCTATGCATACGATTAAAACTTAAGCATACTCATCATATGCTAAAGCCATTTACGTTTTCAGTATATAAAACATCGGATAATCATTTATCCTTTTATCTACATGCAAAAGATGGCTCCAATTAATACGAATAGGCCTACGGGCTGCATATTAATAAATATTAAAAGAATCTTTTGGTGGTACAAAACTTGTAAATGGCTTTGAAAAAAGCAAACATTTAGTAAACTAAAGCTTTTCGTCTGACACTCTTCAGAGTTTAAAACGTCAGAACATAGATCGAAAACTCTACGCTAAGAAATATATACCCAGTAGTGGATCGAAATAGGCCAATCAGAAACACGAGCACATGACTGTATAGGTTGACCAATCAGTGCCGCTTGCCTAAATATTAAAAGAGTGTTGAGATTCATTTTTTGTTTTGTAAATATTAATTACCCAAGGGGGCCCCCACAAAGCAAGATCCTTTAAATGGAAACAATAGAAATATGTCAAATGCGAAATTAAAGTTTTCTTTATGTTGTTAATATAATTGAGGTTTAACATGAAAACATGGTCCAAAAGCGACTTGCCTGTCCTGTATTGTGAGGTGGAGAAAACTTGGCCCTGATCAATGTTTGCAGGACTGAATGACCTCTATACGTCATCACAGACGGGTCACCATTGACATGTGTCAATCGACGAGCTGCAAAAAAGCATAAAAAAATAAAAATCATCCCACAGTAGCAGGCTCCTAGGGACAAAAGAGTGGAGCACCAGATTTCTTCACTGGTGCAAATGTGATTTACGGTTAAATGTCTAATTTTAGAGAGAGGTTTTCTGATTTGTGACAAAATATACCCCCGGCAGCAAGGTGATATTTTTACAGTGGTATACAATGGCTTTTGTTTGCTGTGATATGATACAAAAAATCAAGATTTTGAGAAACCCTTGTGAGAAAGCTAAGAATACAATTCAAAAGGACCAAAATTATCTGCTAATGATGAAATGCAAGCCTTACACCGCCTTGGTGCACTTTCCCATCTGTAATCCCAGTTTGCACCAGAAACAATTCTTTTGCATTCCTAAAAGCAAGAAAAGTAACAAGCTATGGAACGGCGAACCCTTACCTTTTTCAAACACCACTAGATTGAAATTGATTCAGTAAAACTAGGCCTCACTAAGCCCACAAATATAACGATTGAAAGATTCAATTAAAGATGGCACATTGTCGCGGAACGCCGAACAGACAATGTTTTTTAGCTTTCCATAAAAAACCCTCTACATTTTATTTGCAGCTCATGTATTCTCATTCCTACTCTTATGTTTGTTTATATTGTTTATTCTTATTCCTTTGTTACATGTAATTCTAAATTATAGTGTTTAGAAACGCTTTTATACTTAACTTCAAGATAGTCCCAAAATGTAGAACATTATCAGGAATGCTATGGTAAAAGTACCATGCTGTACATTTTCGGGAAATCTTGTAATCAAGTATTCTAAGAATGCCATTTAAGGAAGGAAAAACGATGAACTGAAAAACGCAGCATACCCGAACAGAGTCTTTCGAGGAGAACTTTCTCATGTCCCATAATTTAATTGTCTGATCTTTGGAATTTGACAACAGATATCGTCCATCGCCCTTTAATAAAATAAAAAATTACCCTCTTAGCATAGAAGTGTAGATTGACACTCGCAAGAAGTCATGGTTGGGCTTCACTGTGAATTGCCACCTTCAAAACGGTATACACTGTCGAAAATTTTAAACATTTGTTCCTATCATAAAGCACTTTCACTTAAAGAAAAGGAACACTTTTTCATAAAACTATTTGCATTGATTTGGTTACAATCATCCTTGAGCAACCCTGATGAGCTGTAAACCTGCGAAGACATTCATAAAAAAAGCTTCAGGGGTTGAAGGTTAGCGCTGATTGGTTAAAACAAAGTCATTCACGCAAGCGTTTCATTCAATTGGAACATTTCAATCCATATACCATATGGACGTATACCAAAGAAACCATTTCGTTACACCAGATGATCTATGTAATAAGAGCGTTGGGTGGAAATTGCCGTGACTATGCAAAATGAGCGACCCTACTTTCCACGCCATAAAAAATACTCTCTCGATTGCTGAAGGATCTTATACACCTTAACGGTGAGGTACCTTTGTATCGATGTATGTGACACCATCGGTGTGCCCCGCGAAAATACCAACTGGTTTTGGGTCTCTCTCCTTCAGCTCTCTTCTGTCCCAAACCTAAAACCAAGGAAACGTATCAATGCTCTGGAGTTTTGATGAAGATAGTACGAGGCTTAGGTTTGCAGAAGCCGAGACAACAAAGGTTAATTTCGATGGCATGAAAAAAATGCATGGTAAGTGGGCATTTCGTATGGTGGAGCGTGATGATGTCATATTTAGGATAAGTTATTGAGAGAGAGGAAGTGTTTTTGAAGTTCATGGTTGATTGTAAAGAACAACATTTTCTGATAGTCCAAGAAATACACTTTCAAAATATAGCAAGCTTTTTATGCTATGATTCCAACTATATGACTATTTTTCAATATTTATATTCACCAGTTGGGAATGATTCCAAAACAAGCCATACAATTTAACACGTGATTACCTACTTCACCTTAGATAATTTTAGAGTTTTGATGAAATGTTTGAAATTTACAGTATCAAATCCATAATTTACATTATTTCAAAGCAAATACGCATAATTATAGAGAAATTACAGCAACTGATAGAAAGCCCCGCCCATCGTTCGATAAACTGGGTGTGGCATATTTGGCTAAAATGGTTCACTTTTGAAATGACTATAAAACGGACACCATAAGAGACATAATGCTGAAATCCTGCATGCTGTGTTTTTTTCTTCAAAGTAGCTTTATGTGATAAAAAACCAGGAAGTTCTAAGACTATGGGTTGCAGATATTAAAAATATCTGAAGATTTGATGTGAAATGACCCAAATGTAACGTGATCTGTTATCACAGATTCCTTGCTTCTTTCTGGGAAAATGACACGGATACTGGAGAAAATGGATGACGATTACTCATACTTTCTTCTTTCACAAAATATTTTCTGATTCTGTTTTTGATAGACATGTGGTAAAGAAGGATATATTGGCGACCCAGCGTGCAATAACCTTTTAAAGAGATTGGGCTAATTGATACTCAAATAAATCATAAGCCAAATAGAGCCAAAAGAATTGTAAGTTGCGGCCAGGTTTGGTCAGAGGCTGATAAAGTAAGAGCGAAAGGATTATGTGGCTGTCCCATTCGCTAACGGACCCTGGAACACAAAGCCATTGATATGCAAAAGATACGATTAGATTGAATAGATTTAATGACTGCGATAGCCTTTAATACGCATAGCGCCTGTAATAATTCCATGCCCTCAAATAACAAGCAATTAAGAACAGGGACATTTAAATACACAGTTCTTGTTCCAAAATAGTGGAAATAAACATGATATCCTTTCGGGTTGCAATCCAAAAAGCCCCTGAACACGCAGAGTCAAGATCCATCGACCTAAGACTTTCAAGTTGACCTGCACAGCTCACCACAAGCGACCCTCCACTGGTACAAGTCTATGGATCAAATCATCTCCTTAGACCAGGATAAAATAACCAAATGCTAGCAGCCCTGGGTATAATTACCAATGAGATCTACTTACCATACAAAGACCGTCGTCACTTCCTGAGAAGAGGATGTCTGACGTTTCGTTTGCAAACGAGACCGCGTTTACGTCATCTTCGTGGCCACTGACCTGCAAGGATAATTCATAGAGACGTCACAAATTCACACACCCTTTTCTATGCATCTGTCCAGAGCAAATCCTATGTTTGTTTAGAACTTAAATTATCACTAAAGGCAGACGATAAATTGGCTGAAATGGTCTACTCATCTGCTAGTTATAGTTTATTCCTACTTGATAAGGAGGAGTCGTCTTAGATTTGAAACTATTTTCCCCTTGGGGCTCTTTGCTACCAAATCTCAAAACCACTTCAAAAAAGCTGCCCTAAAGAAACTTATACTGTAACTTACAATATTGATGCTAACAAGATAGGCCTTAAATGGAACTTGAAGCCTAATAAATAAGAGAAACAGCAAACATAATGATTTGATCCTGTAAGGTAAACCAACTTCTTTCACAATAACGAAACCTTTAACAAAAATTATTGTATCTTAACAATTAGGGGTGTCTGTAGTGTAGTGATGTGTGTTCGTGTGGTATGTTTACGGACGTCACGTGACGAGCACCGCATGCTAAAACCATAGTTAATGCTAAAACTAAGATGGCTACTAGATAGGCTCGTTCCTAGCTCGAGGCATACTTTGGCAAAAAAGACGCTATATTGTCTAACACAAGTGGTCAAACAAATATCACAATATCAGCATATATTGACTGACAATTATATAATACACAGCAAAGTAAATGAAACATACCCTTAATGTTCTTTTGTCTCCCCCTCGATCGTAAACGTACAAACATTGGTCGCTACCCCTTGAAATAAAAACCATTTTTATAGATTTATCCGATTTAAGGAAAATAAAGAAATTTTTGGCATCAAAGAAGCTGCAATAAGGACATCAGATTCAGGCAGACAAGAGAGGAAACTTATTTTCAGTCAAATAAGGATTCGAGCTGCCTGGTGCCGAGAAAAGTTCTTTAGTGGACAGAAGATGTCCAACAAAATATTTCTATAGAGAAGCTACAGAGTCGTTTGAATAGATATAAAACATAGGTCAATTACAGCAGAGCAACGATACTGAAGATCTTCCGCTAAGAAACAGTTCCATTATTAATAAACAATCGCCTTTCTATCCTCAAATTTACTCTTCTTTAGAGGCTGTACTGGGCGGTGCAAACGTGCTATACATCTTCCTAATCGATTATCAATCAAAGAGAAATAGATTTTCATTATCCGACTGCTCTTTGGAGCATATGAATAAAAAATGGGTGAAATAAACACACAGTATTATCATCAAGGTTTATACTCCAATTTTGATTTTTTGCAGAATGAAAAGCTCAAAATTCTGCAAATCAAATCTACGAAATGCCAAGAGCCTGTCTTAGTTTCAACCTTCTGCACCTTGAAACGATTTTAAAAACTCTTTCTTTATGGAGATTTCCTTTACCATGGCCTTCTACTGCAGATTAACAATTCGAAATAGGTTTTACTGCTCATGCAGTTAATGGAAACTTTGAATTGCACCAGCATAAATGAATTAATTATTTGAGAAATATTATCAAGAAGAAAGCGATAATATTACAAAAAAATTACGTCACTTCATCAAATAATCAATACACTTTATACAATCAAAAGAAAAAATGTTAATCAAAGTTTAATTTGTTTAAATGACAGGAGCTAAGAAGCGGTTGCTACATAAGAAATCCTAAAAAGTGTCTAACTTAAGACTTTAGCATGGTGTCTGAAATTTTCAAAGATTTTTATAAGTTCAGGAAAGGCAATGAGCAAAAGCTAAGACTTACCCCGCGAGAATCTGCGTGTTGTCTTGCGAGAAGCAAATGGAAAACGCACAAAACCGCGATTCCTCTGGTCTAGAACGAGAGAAACGACTTTGGAACGTACAAGAGACTGATGCAGAAAATATTCAAAGCAAATTGAAGAGGACAAAAATACGACAAAAATCTTAGCATGAAGGTAGAGATAAAAAATAAAGTCACAAATATACGAAGTAGTACTGACCGAAGATTTAATGGTACATGTGTCTCATAATCGCCGTAAATGTTACATAAGTAAACTAGAAGAAAATAAAACAGTGTAAAGTAACACAACCGCAATGTATGGGAGACGAGAAATTGCTTATGATACATTCGACTTGTTAATAACAGACCATATCTAAACGTTTCAAGACTACCTCGGCAATGTATTGTGAAGTTACAAAGCTTTTTTCGTAAAAAGGAACATTTGTAAACAAAAATTCTGTGAGATACAATAAGAGCTTCCACACATCCAGAAAATTACAATTGACAAATGGAAAAATAACATACAAAATAAAGAGCTTGAAAATACTTAATTCAAATAACAGCAAGGGGAAGGCAGCAAAAAAGATTAGTGCACTCACTAGAATCCGACCAACTTGCATAGATTAGGAATCTTTGATCCGGGCTACGAGAGATAATTTCGTTATATATTTTTTATGCTTGTGTCTCTGTAAGTAACGATCAGGCTTCAAAATAGATAAATATTTATTTTTTTAAAGGAAAACTCAGACTTAACGAATTCAATATAAAAATCTTACAAATAAAAAGAAGTCTGGCGTGCAAAAAAGATTGTGCAAAAAGATTGTGGCATCCAAATTGTGCAAAAAATTACAATGGCGACATGTTTCGGATTATTGGTAAAGCCCGATCGTCGTTCCACATAGCAGTTTTGGAATCTATCTACATAAGCACGAAAAAACCGCTACTGTGTAGACAAAAGGAGTTCGTTTTCACCTTAGGACTCCACTGGTAACATTCTAATAGACAAGCGGCACTGATTGGTCAACCTTTACAGTCATGTGCTCGTGTTTCTGATTGGCCTATTTCGATCCACAACTGGGTATATATATTTCTTAGCGTAGAGTTTTCGATCTATGTTCTGACGTTTTAAACTCTGAAGAGTGCCAGACGAAAAGCTTTAGTTTACTAAATGTTTGCTTTTTTCAAAGCCATTTTCAAGTTTCGTACCACCAAAAGATTGTTTGCAACTCATTTATCAATGCTACATACATCAAAATACACACTATTGAAAATACATTGCCAACTTAAATGAGATAAACAAATTTAGTGACATGTGTTAAATGTCCCAGTTGTAAATGCCCCAGAAGTTCATTTTAAACATTTGAATTTCTTTTACGATGACTTTAACCAAATAAATGGCTAATCATGTAAACATAAAAGGTTATCAAGCAATATGGCGTCAGACAAATACTAAAAACGGAAAAAGTAGCTTGCAGAAATGGAATTCAATCAATCTAATTTATATTAACGGACCTGTATGCCGTGTCCACAATGCTCCAACTAATATCTCTTGCCGAGATGTCACGAAATAATTTGAAGTTGCCATTTGTGGTATCGTATAGTCGAATATGCTGGTCTAAAATATAAAAGGAAATTAATTGAAATCTCAAAATATAAATTAAAACTAATAAACTGGCTTTAAGCGAATGAGATCAGATGACTTTAAATTGGGTTTAGAAAAAGTAAATATCGTTAGACATTCATCAGAGTATTATAATAAACAAAACTGCCCCTCAAAGGGAACAGCCTCCTCGATCTTGTAGGTCTAGAAACACTGTTAAAGCAAGTGATTCTGCCATCGGTCAACATCTTTTAGACAACCCAGGTTGTGCAAAACTCTATAATGACGACATGTTTCGGATAACTAACGCTTCACAGCGACGGATGCTAAACGGCAAAATTGTCTGATTTAGTACAATGCATTAAACAACAACAACCAGACAGCATTGCTTAGAGCAGCAGAATACCGTTGCCAGCAAGATGAACCCCTGACGGAAGACCTAGCAAAGTTGAAAAGTTGGCATACCTTGACACGCTGACATAAAAACAGTTCCATCGGTAGAGTATTCCCCACAGAACAGTTTTTGGCGGAACTTTTTCATCGTTTGCATACTGTTTGGTAGGAAGCTGGCGGTTGAAATACAAAAGAGTCACAGCAGAAATGATAGAATTTAAAATAAACTGCGAATTATTTACTGACAAAACTGTAGAAAAGTTACAAAAAGCTACCTCCTTTTAACAGCAAACAGAAAATAAGAAGATGGAATAAATCTATAAAAGCATAAATGATAGCCTTCTGAATTAACTACAAATTATTTATTATAAAACTTCAGAAAAGTTACGTTTAAATCTCATTTTTATATAACATACATATAATTAAAAGAAATGTATAAAAGGGTACAATGATAAACTGGAAGAGATCTATTTACATTACATCCTTAGCTAGCAATTGTGAAATATACAAACTCTCGGTTCTTTTCAAATTTTCTCATCTTTTCCAATTCAAACACGTCCGCAAGTTATTTTTTCAATATAAAACATGTGACAAACGAATGCGAAAAAACAATGAACAAGAAAACATCGAAAAGATTTGATGGATTCACCTTGTAACCGAACTTTTTTCTTGCAAACAATACCTTTCTCAACAAACATTTTGAAAAAAGAAAATATGGAATGATTGCCTCAAGTTCAATCGTCAAATGTTTACTTTCCTTAGTTTTAAACTGACATCGCAAACCAAATGGTGATGCTGATGATAAAATTTAGATCTTTGAATCGACACAGATGGTAATAACAAAGTCACCTACATGTCGTGGAGTCTAACTTGATCACTTGGACAGAACTTCGTTCTGGATCGCTTTCTTCCTTTGAAAATATTAGACTCTCTCTAAAAGGCAAATAAAATTCAGCAAGGAGAGTTGATATCAAGAATTGAACACAGTATAGAACTACCGATTCTAAACGTTGTCACTTGAAACAGCCGTCATAGTGTTTCTAAATAACATTGAAGTTTTTAATCAATGTTTCACCCAAACACAGGCATAAATCACTCATTAATTGCTAGTTAATGATGAATTGGGGGAAAAACATTCCCCGATTGATGACTAAAGTAGCTAACGACTTTCGAAAGGACGCTAACTCAAAATTTGGTTTATTAATATAATGATTCAGAAAATGGATGCGGGATTGAGCCTCTCACCAAACATAGCGTATACATGTTATGCATATCGTGTGCTTTCCATGAATAGACATCCTAATGCAGAAAGTCGAGTGCATTCCACAAGTGCATTTCACAGAAATTAATGATAGCCGAAAGGGTGCCACAATAAATGGTAACTTGTTTTAAAAGGTAGCTTTGGAATGCTCTTGAACTGTTAACAAGGTGAGGGCTGATAACAATACTTTAGATCATCATGAGCTCAACAATTTGTTATTTTCGTTTAGCTCTTTAGAAAAACTTTTTACCAGGACAGCTCTGAGTTTCACCCAAAGTATATAGGTTCTTGTCCCTTGGTTATTTTACCTTGGGCGATCCCTTGCACAACTTTCACTCAGGTGTATTAATCATTAAGTGTGGTTGCGTGAGAAAGGGCCAGGACCCTGCACAATAGGCAAAGCTTCTCGTTGTTCTAAAAGCTACCTCAGAAGCTAGCAGCAACAAATACACGCCTTTGAATCACAGTAGACGAAATGTTGAAAACTCTATGCTAACAAAAAACTGTAACTTATCCATTTTTTCTTTATATGTACAAGAGTTCCAATGCAGGTATACTCTACATTCAAATGAGCGTGTAATCTTCTTTGATCAATCATTTATTACACGGCTACACAAAAATTATGGAACTTAACCAATAAATTTGCATATAGCCCCAAGTCAAGCAGGTATTCAGAAATGCAAATTCAATAACACAATTTGTTAAGACATGTCACAGAATACCGAAAGGTACCTACTTGGAGGATACATTTTGCAATATTTGCATCAGTATTTAGTAGTCGTCCACTTGCAACAGCAGTTTCAAGATATATTTGTGAATCCTAAAATTAGTTAGCATAAGCATATAGCAATTGATATGACAATTATAAGTCATGGGTAATTAAAAATTACTTGATGTATAGCTGTGGGGTGTAAATAAAAGATCTTTAAAGATTACTGGAAGGCTGGTAGCCTTGCTGCCTAAAGAAATCACACTGTTTTTGGCAAATGTAACAGTGCAGTGCTGGCCAGGGACCCCGGAGCAAATTATGAATGAGGGGTTTAAAATTTTGGGGAGCAAAGACGCAAAAAACAAGATTATTTGCTTGTTTTTTTAAGTATAGTTGAGGCCTAAAAGTTGGAAAGATCTGTGGAAATAAAAAGGAATTTAAAGCAAAGAATGCTTCTATGAAATAGGAATCAAGCACCAAAGCATGTTGCTATGATCTAGTAGGTCAGTTGGCGATCTGGCCACATTAAAAAAATCTCACTGCCTGAATATCTCTATTTCAATATTTCTGTGACAATTTAAGCCTATTGCGAGGCAAAGGGTCTTTGAATTTTTGAGTTTGAATTTTTTTATGAATTGTAAACTGTCAAAGGAGCTTCAATGACCAGTCATATTAAAAATGCTGTTCACAAATGCTAATGCTACCGTCATATTTGCAGTTGCCAATCATAAAACATTGTATAATTTAATATCTAAGTGATTAAAATGCACCCAGAATGCAGAAAAAAGTATAAAAAACACTCATAAAGACAATTCCATTAGTTCTACCTCCATTCTTGATGTATCAGGGCAGGGTTCAGCTACAAAAAATATAAACACAAGTTACATTCCAATTTAAAAAAAATGAATCATACCAAATCTAAATATCTAATTTTTATTCTACTCTGTATTTGTTTGACTTCTTTTCATTGCATATGTGGTATAACAATTACATATAAGACACCAGATTATGCTGCAATAATAATTACACTCAAATTTCATGTCATGGTGTATCGATCTGAGTTATGACTCTGGGAGATTCTAGTTTGTTTGATTTTGGTTGGCTCAGATTCTAAAATATAGAAATACCTTGTGGAGAGGCTGGCCGATGAAAATGCCCCATGCTGATGTAATGCGAATCATCTGAATCATCCCCACTGTCAATGTCGATGTTGATGGAGCTAAAGGGGCCTCCAGCATTTAACAGTCTTGAATGGCGACTAAAATCAAACATGAAAATAGCTGAAATCAAATCAACACAAGTGTTGGGCATTTACAGCAAACAATTTCAGCATTACACAGCTTTAAATAACAATTTTAAGTAAAATTAATTTCCTCACAATTCTGGAGTTGATGATGACAAAGCATATATCTTAAATACTGGACCTTATTTTCAAACCAAAAAACTCAAACAAACAAAACTATTGATGTTAACATGCAAAGGTTAATGAAGGAATCAACAAAGCTCTTGATAAAAGCCTGCAGGAAGGTATGTAAGCCTAAACAAAGGAGAAGAAATGATAAAAAATGATATTTTTGAAAAGTGTGATGTCAAAAGAAGTGACAATATGAAATTAACGTGGGGAAATTTGTGGCAATACAAAGAGAATAAATAGACTGCTACAATACCATTTGAGCACCATCATTCCTGGTTCAATTTTGGTATGTGCAAACCTCCTTACACGAATCGTAAGGTATGCAATGGTAGTTTTTTCATAAAAGTGGTTTGTAAACATGGTGTACAAATTCAGCTATGTTGAGATCTGGTTTGCATTGCACTGAACTTTGGTGTGAGCCCACCATACTTTTAAGACTGGCATCAAAAGATTTTCATTACTTTTTGCAAGTAGAAAAATCATTATGATCCTGGTTGACACTGAGCCAAAAAACTATCCCTTTTTTCTGGGATTTATTCAAAGTATGAAATCTTTAACATTTTTCGTCACATTTTCTTGATAACAAAGTTCATTCCCCTGAAAAAATTTGATAAACCCTCTAATTTTCAGTTACTTAGTTTTAGGTAACTTGTATGAGCAGGTTGGAAAACATATATATGATTTTGGCTACACTGCACACTTTCAGATGCGATCTGGAAAAAGGCAAACAACAATCATGGATTCAAGACTATAGAATAGTATACTCAAATTTATTGATATTGTGAATCAGGTGCGAGCACAAGAAATCCTGAGTAGCTGCAAGCATACTATATGCAATTTTTGTAGCCTGGCTGCATTGAGCCATCTGATCAAAATGGCAGCCAAAAAATGGTTAAACTGAAAAATTTGCAAAAAATACATTTCAAAAATTAAACCCTGGCTTGTGGTGATAATCTTTCGTGGGAAATTTCCTCCTTGAACATAACCTACTTTTTATCTCCTATCGCATTGGCGATTAGACATGACCGGAATTTCCCATTTTCCCAAGCAAACCTTTTCAAACCTTTTCAAACATTTCCAACCAACTGTCTGTTGCCTAACAAACAACAAAGCACACTCTAGAATTTACCAGGGTACCACCCAAAGTATATAAATATAATTTCCACTTAAGAAGAGCACTTGCAAAATATTTATACCACCCTCATAAATAAACTGTTAAAAATTTAAGTAGTACCTGTTTCTTAGGATAAATGCCAAGATGCTTGCTGCAAGACTATCTGCGCCGATGTCTCTGTTTAGAACAGTTTCCTCGGACTCTTCACTTTCATCTTCCTCAAGAGGATTATCTACATCTGCAGCACTTGCTTGGCTCCATTCTAACGATTCTTCATCATCTTCGTTTTCGGTATTTTCACTCCTTCTTCGACTCATTCTTCCACCCATAACAAACCAAACTACGAAGTGTGGCTAGGCCAATTTGTTCCCAGACCTTCTGACCTCTTGGAATGACGATTGAACTTCAAGCATCCAAAACGATAGGGAGCGTCTTTCGCAGAAGAGTTGTGTTGCCGCGTCCCTGGTTGCCCCCCTCCCGAAATCGCCCTTGCTTTTGTTTAAAGCATGTCTACCCCCAAAAAAGTTTTAGCCCCCTCAATCTGTAATATTATTCGCGGTCCTTGGTACGAAGCTTGCCTTTTACATTCCTGTCAAGCTACTGCGGTGCCCTGTAGTAAGATTTTGAGTATTAAACAATAAGTTTGTGTATTAAACATTAATTAAACAATAAGAAACCGTATTTTCTGCCTCTGCTATTTATTTTCTCAAAGCAAATGCAGAGTGAAACTTAATGTTTATGATAAAAAGATGACTAAGTTTGAAACATGATTATTTTGTCAGAATGCAGAATGAATCCACGGGTTGGCCAGTTCGGTCTCATGAATTTGAAGATGACACGTTCGAATATTTCATATTGTTTTAAGCATACATAAAAAGAGAACACACTGGGAAGAAGAAAAAACGTAAGATTCGCAGCTTACGCCGAACGAAATTACGTAAGATTTTGGCAAAAAACATGACACTTCCCACATTTGACTATCAATCAAATTCGAAATCGTTCAAACCAGACAGGTGATTCTTCCTTAGAAGATTTTGATCCAAAAGTACCTCAAGAAATTCGACATAGAGAGCCTTTCTGACTGGATGGTTTCCAATTTTGATGAAATTTTGCGGTGACTTGAAAACAATAACATTAGTCTTATTAGTAATCAAAGATAATTTATTAACATCAAGCCACATTTTGACATACTTTAATTCATTGTTAACCGTTTTTTAATCGAAATTTTCAGCTTCGTAGTAAGTATTTGTATCATCTGCAAATAAATACAAGACCAGTTTCGATGATGATTAAGGTAAGTCATTAATGTTGATTAGGAAGAGAAGCGGACCAAGTACTGAACCTTGTGGGTTTGATCTATTTACTGATACATACTGTTTCCTACTCATGAGATTAGACAAAACAATCTAAGACAGTTCCTCTAATTCCATAGTGTTCAAGCTTTGTCAATATAATATCATGATTCACTGTGTCAAATGTCTTTTGCAAACCAAGCGCTGCTGGTGCCATCAGGAGAAGAACGTGCAACTATGGACCAACAAGAGGCTACGCAAGCTGGAACCAGAAGCACCACCTACTGAGGCGGCCTACAAATGTGAAACTTGCAACAGGACCTTCAAGACAGCAATTGGGCTGTCATCTCACTTGCGGCATGGGCACTAGCTCCTCCCCACGTCATCGTCGTTATCGACGGAATGCTAAAGAAGAAGAAGACTTCTTTTTGTCTAATGAATTCTTTATCGCTTTATCACTAACTAGGGCATGGTCAATAGAATGGCTATCACGAAATCCAAGTTGTAAAGTATGTAACATCGCTTTTAGAAAATTATAGATAACTTTTTTGGTTATTTTGCTAAAGATAGAAAGCAGAGAAATAGGTCTATAATTAGAAGCTGGAAGTGGATATCTTTCTTAAAAGGTGGTATTACTTTTGCCAACTTCATTTTGTTTTGGAATATCCCAGGCTAGAAAGATTCATTTATAATTTGGGACAAAGGAAGTGATATAAGAGGGTAAAAAGTTTTAAGATTTTCATAGGAATGCTGTTTGGTCCCAGAAACGTTCTAATTTTTAAGAGAGAGATTATCTCAGATTTGTCAAGAGATATAGGGGGTGCAGTAAAAAGGAGCTTCCGATTAACTTCCCATAATATCTACAGGTGACTTTGTACATCTTGGTATATTTTTTGTAGTAGTACGAGAAACATTAATAAAAAATCGATTAAAGATTTTGCTATATCTGCAGGATCTGACGTAACATTACCATTTGAATCCTCAAGCTTACTTATAACTTACGTACGGAAGCGTCCAGGAATGTAGGACTTTACAGGCCACTTAAGGCCCGGCCAAACGAATAAAACATCCGTAAAACATTGTCAAACATTTTTGTACCAACATTGTTGGACGATGTTTTATGACCTGGCCAAACGAATCAAACAAATGTTGAAATATCTGTGATGGTAAAGCGCTGCCGCACAGCTTCCTACAGTTACTGAGTTGTATTTGCCAAACTTTAACCTACTGCGCTTGCGTTTGTAAAACAAATGTTTTAAGGGGTGGCCAAAGAACGCAACATTGTTGATCAAAGATGAGAACAAAAGAGATGTTTTACGAAATTTTTGATAAAACATGTTTCATGCAACAATGTTGGATGATGTTTTATGCCGATGTTTTATTCGTTTGGCCAGGGCTTTAATACGAAGGATTCTAAGTTATGTTGCTCCATTTTGCCCTGAAGTCCGGTGGTAGTTGTGGAGCGTCTTTTACTGCACTGTCGGTGTACTCAAGTTTGACTGACAATGCCCAGGCTACTTGTAAAATACTCCAAAAACAGGTTACTTGGAAACAGAATATTGAGTTTGCATAGGGGAAAATTTTTCTATAATACTTAGAACGCTTTAGTTAAAAAACAAGTACTTTCATTCTACAATAATTGAAGAGATGATGTTGTTTCGCCTCCAATTATTCTTGCCATTATACTAGCCAGCGATGGCTTGGTAAAGTTTACTGCTTTGAAATAGGACGATGTAGAGTAGACTATTGGAAAAAATGCGGAGACTGAAATGGTAATTATTTGGCATAAAAAAGACATGACTCGACGACAGCAATAATTCTAATCAACAGAATAAAAACAAGATAACAAATCTAACTGTTTTCCTTTATAGGAAGCTGTGAAAGCGTGATGTCCTTTTTCCGACCTCTTACACTACCACGAAGACATGTATGGAAATGTCAAGTGCTGGTTAAAATACAAAATTTACAACGCGACGAGGCCAGGGTTTACTACATAGGGTAGAGGGGGAGGGAGTACAGATCACACTCTTCATCGGCCCAGAGAAAAGACTGACCTTCCCAGCAACACATTTATAAATACTTCTACTGGCTCCTAAACATCGATGAAGTTTTCTAATTGAGACATACTTGGTTAAAAAGGCTCGTGCTTAGGGTAGTGCATGGACAACTTTACCGTAATACACTCACCAACTACATACGACGACAGCCTAAGTCACGTGGTAAGCGTCTTAACCAGAAAGTGGCTAACGACATCTTGATTAATTTGGTATACCGTACTTCAGCTTACATAAAGAAAGCCCATTGATAACGAGGCCGTTTCAAGATGATTTGTGTACCAGTCTATAAAAGGTATATTTTTTTTCAAAAAAATTGTATCCCAGAATTTGATCGAGTATTATACGATAGAACTCTAAAACTGTTTACAAGTGGTGGGAAAACGATCTTTCGAGCCATGGGTGGACTAGCGAGTAATTCTTGCTATCTTGAAGTTTGACTCAAAATCATACCACGCCATACATTTGTACAACACAAAAATGAGAAATTTTGCTAGCGGATTATCCCAGAAACTAGCAAAGCGGCGAGGAAATAAAAGATTTTGAGCATCCATAAAGTTGGGGGTGAATCCATTCGCAATTGGTGATAAGCAGCCTAGCCAGATATACTTTATCTGAAAGACTTAGAAAGACTTACTTTATCGACGTTTCATTTAATTATCGGATTCTACAAAGATCCACATACAATTTATATTATGACTAAATGACAGATCCAAAAAAACATGACATCTCAAGTTAATTTCGTTCGAATAATCGTCCACCAACCGATACACGTGTCCACTGGTTGAAATTTACTTAATTAAAAATTTGCGTTAAACAACATTCTAGCGCGACGGGTTGGATGCGATTTTTGGTGTACCTTAGGTGAAATGGTGTAGCTAGCAAATTCCCAACTTTAAGTAACAAATTTTGCAAAATATGCCTAAGATATGTCATATAAAACAAATTTGGTTTACATCTGCCTTATTACAGAAACTCCACCTAAATTCTCTAAAACTGCTAAATGTCATCATTGTCATCGAACTAAGACCAGCTTCGAAACTGTTACTTCCCAATGTTCAAAAACGAGGCAGTACTTCATATACCCTTGCACCATGTTAGTTCGTCAAGATGATCGTTCATCCGGTGTGCTGTGAACGCAATGCAATGACGCTGTGACCTCGAAACTGTATCGAGGCTTGCATGAATGTGGAAATGATGCCTTGCGACCGCGGCGACTGCCAGGTCATTCGCTATCACCTTAGATACGATTTAAAGAGAAGCATTGACCTTGACGACTCTCTGTCTTGCTCTAACACAAACTGCAAGTCACGCATCGTGATTCGTCGAGTCCGTAACCGCATCGGCTGCGAAAAAACAAACATAGATCAATATTTCATTCATATGTCATTTAAACCGTCAATTTTATCAACTTAAATAGTTCACCATATATTGAACACATATTGATACTTATACAAAAATGCACTGCACACCTATCGCACACCTAATTTGGATCGAACACATAATTTTTAGAATTTTTCAATTTTGACCATATATCCCAAAAAAGCATTGTGAAACAATTATAAATATGCAAAACCAGTTGAAGGTGCTACAAACTGGCAGAGATATTGCCAGATAAGCACAGGCGCTTACCACATCAAACTTCTGTTATTTGTCTCTGTTCTTAACCTCAGGGGTAACCATATCCCAGCCAAACATTTTGCAAAGGTACTATTATTGGCAGGGATGTAAACATAGCTATAAATGCGAATTGTTACGGTCGAGAAGAAAGGCAAGTCCACCGGGTTTTGGCTGACCTTGTCCGGTATAGAAACAATCCAGCCTCGAATTAATGTTCGTGCTTCGATTTCATGTTTGTTCATATAACACCATGGTAACGTTAATGTAATACATTTTTATAATGTATAATAATGTAATACAAACACATTATACATTATTGCAAGACTCTGTAAACATTCTATAATGTTCATTAACCTGGACCCTTTTAACTTCAACCAAATCCTTGCATTTTCATTACCTTGATGAGGCCATTAAATCTTGATAATCATAACTTAGCAAAGAGCAGTTCTTCAAACATTAAAATCAAACTCATATTTTTTTTTATCTTTTGGCATCGCCTTTCTCAAAACAAGCCAGTAATTCATCGGAAATGATAACTTCAATACTATGATTTCATAAACAAAGCAAAAAATAATCAAAAAAACATTGGCGAGAAATGAAAAAAACAATGATACCTGAAGTTGTGAAGATGATGACGCGTCGTTGTTGCTTGGGTCTGATGTCTGTTGAGATAATAAAGTAATCGCTTGAACAAAAAAGCAGAAAAGACGATGTAGCACAGTGTCCAGAAGTGTTTATTCATTCTCCGAACAATTTCGGGGTCTTGGCAAGGGTGTGCAAAGCAGTAATGATCTACAATACCAGGAACAAAGTAATGCAGCACCTGAGAACGCGTTTAATGGCGGATCACGTAAAAACTTTTGTTGTTGACTGATTAAGCCATTTCCCCTTTTTTTCAGCCAATGGCGCGCTAATAAGACAGCGATTGCTCAACAATAAAATCAACTTTTAAATAAACAAAAATTTTGTGGAGGTACTTCTGGCTATGAAAACTTTGGGAAATCGTTTTAGAATTGATGCACAAAATATTTTGGTGAAATGCACTGGGATTCTTCTTTATTCGCCATAACCTCTTTAGGCCAGTTCTTGTTTGGACCTTAGAGAACCTCGTGGATTTCAAATCAAATAATTTTCATTGGCAACAAGAGATATAATTGCTTGAATCAAGGTTAGGTAAATTTGAGTAAAAACGGCCTTGTCAAGGAGGATGATTCGCCTTTTATGAAAATACTGCCTCCCTCATTTCCCTAGCATTGGTTGGATTCCACAAAAAGGCTATTTTGCATTATTTTGACATATTTCACTGCATCAACTCACACGTTGCTAGTTCCTAATTTAACAATCAATATGGGCCTAACTGTATCCAAAAGGTTATCCAATCAGGACATTTTCGAATGATTTCACTTGTTGTTTCCTAAACTGCAACATTGCGCTTTGAAATCTCTTGAATCGGACCATTTGCACTAAATTTTAACACAACTTCTCGTTTCTCATCCTGTTATCACTTTGATTTTACCATTGCAGTTATTAAATTTCAAAGAATTTGACTCCTGGTTTAGCATGATATTGTTCTCTTAGAAGAGGAACATTGCAGCGTAAAGTTATCAGTTTGCAAAACTTCAAATTCTTTTGGATGCCATTTACCCCTTTGTGGAATTCTTGATTCCAATTGACTCTCAAACAAGCACAAACTAATAAATACTAAAAAAATTTAAGCAGTTCGTTCTGAGGTTTCCATCTATCGGCCCCCGGAGACACATGACCTATGGTTACCGCCAATCGTCTGCCATACCAAAACATGGATACTTAAACAAGATGGCTCATTTGGATTTATCGGAATGCAATTACTAAAAACATACTCCCTTTTTGAGCTTGCAATTTACCAACTCTCAGTAACTTAAATACCAACAGCAGGTGTAGAAGCGTTTGTTTGTCAGTTCAATAGTACAGGAATTCGTTTATACTATAATTGATCGGCCCAATGATTTAGTAGAGTGAGACTCCTTTATAGTTTGTCACACATTAGTGCCATCGTTGGAACATTGTACTGTGGGCTCACATCAAAAACAAAATAATTCTTCCATGAGCTTTATTAAACTGTCACTGAATACTCACATGAGCAGTGCTTAGCGACTCCAAAGCTTCGTCTAACTTCCGCTTTTTACGGGGTCCTATCGCTTCTAAGGCCGTCTTGTTGGCCGCGCGCTTTCGAAGTAACTCTTCCTCTTCTTGTTGAAGCTGAAAAGAAAGATGTCTTTACGAGTTAAGAAAGAAATATGTTATTTTGGAACGCAACACAAAGTTCAGATACTCTGAGGTGTAAAAGACTTTAAGAGCATCAGAGAAAAATTGCTTAAATGCTTCTACCTGGAATGCGACGAAAGATGTTTTGTTACCTCACGCGACAAGGGTGTTTTGTAACTCAAGGCGTTTGAAAATGAAGCATTTATCAATTGGAAGAAACTTTTATCGGCAATAATATTCTGATATATGAGTTTTAATCTAAGGAGATATAAATCTGGGGTCTTAGACCAAAGAGAACTTTATGCCCGTTGACTGTCATACAGTGAAAAACAAAAAAAACATTAAGGATAAAAAACATGATGTTATGTAGATTGGATCGACAAAGGGAGGCAAAAAACGGCTACAATTGAAGATATTATAGAGTACAGCAAACAAGAAACGATTTTGACATATTGAAAGACTTTGAAATAAAAACATTAGCGAAGGAGGTGACTCGCTATAAAAATAGCAAATCATAAAAAATTTAGGCTTGTTTTGCAAGAAAATTCTCAGTGCTCACCTGTTTCGCTTTTTCTTTCAGCCTTGCTTGCTCCGGATCTTCCGTCCTTGAACGACTCTAAAATAAAAAAACCAACATAACTTAACTGCGTTGCTAAAGAGAATTAAAAGGTATGAATCAAGGTAATTTAAAAATAGCTTGAAATTTCATTCATTTTGCATAGGAAGATGGGTATAGCCAAAGGCGAATATCACGGAGTTTCTTTGATGACAAAAAAGCGTTCTATCATGATTGGTTGTCTATTCATAAATATGGCGATCTCCACTTCGAAATGCTTCACTCTCTTCACCAACTCAAGTAGACGCCCTAAACAAAACCACGAAATGCACCTTCATGGCTGTTCCAAACAGTTTTAGAAGAATTATTTTATCAATTTTTGTAGAACTTTTATTTCTTTCTTTTAAAGGAAACGGAAAAAGAAAATTTTCTAGAAAAATGAAAGGCATTTAAGTTGGAAACAAAATAGAGAAATTTCCTAAATTTGGCAATGAAAGCATTGAAGAATAACACATTAATTGCTGTAGGAAAATATGAGCAAAGATGTTCACTCTACACACACAAATCATGAACTGTATTTGTTTCTATGAAAATGAAAAAATTTCCCCAGGGTGGTTTGAATACTGCGTTCGGAGAATTCTTTTAAATTGTTTTCCGATACACGTAAACCTTTCTCTAAGGGGATGTTAGGTAAAGGCTATTCTCTAAGGTGATGCGAGACGAAGATTTTGGCAGCATGGCTGTAATACAAAAGATAAACATAATACCAAGAACCAAAACAGGCTATGCCTTTGGGATTTCAACAACAATATACCTTTGCGACCCTCATGAGCATTTCCCGCTCTCTTGCTTCCCTGTGTTTCCTCTCCACCTCGTCTATTTGTTCGAAGACCCGCAATTGTGATTTGACGTCCGAGACAACTTCGAAAGAAGGATGCTCCTGGGTAGAAAAACGAAAGAAACTTATAATATAATTCACAACTCTACTAATTTTGCATTTCTGAATCGAAATTAGTTTTAGCTTGTGCTGCCCTGTGCATTTTCCATTGAATTTAATATCAAGCTAATTTTCCAAGGTCTTTTTCAAAACTTGTTCAAAAAGCCACAAAACGCAAGTGAAAATAACAATTACTATTGTGTTCAATTTTGCCAATCATTTTGTAAAACTCTCAAATATTCCCATGTTTAGTTTTAAACTTACACTTTCTAATGGAAAAACCTTTTGCCGTGAGCCCTTCGTGGTTGAGATTCAATTTGGTCTATGACATAGCTAGCTGATACCACCACGAAACTTATGGCATTGGTCAGCTTCCTTGTCAAAACTGAGACATGGCAAAGCAGCAATATCAAATGGTTTTTGCAGCAAACTTTAGTCCATTGCGATACAATTTTGAAAAAGGCATTGAGGATTGTAAAAAGTTGCTTCAAAGCAAACGTTTAATCAATTTTATAACCGACGGAGCCTACCTTGTGAGCTTCCACTCGATGTAAACTAAGGACAGATAGTCGTTCGATAATGTTCCGTAGCCTCTCTTCGGTGGCATGTGATACCATGGAAATGACATCTTGTTGAGCGTCACGAATCTTGTGCTTTTTAACTTTAAAGAAAGAAAATTGAGATGCAATGCAGAAATCAAAAGCAATATCCTGCGGTCCAGGGGCTTACACCTTTAATCGTTAGAAATGGGATCAAAGAATTTTTTTCATTCAGGCTTCTGTAAAAATGACAACGGGAAAGTTGAATGGTTTAATTTGGTCTAGAAGAGCAATGCTTGATATTAAGTAACTGGTTTTCAAGAAAAAGCAACTTAGGCAAAAATTATCTCCCAGTAGCAAGTTAAATAATTAAAAAAGCAAAGAAGTACGACAAAAAATTAAAACGGAATTCAAAATGAACATAAAACGTATTCGCCGATGAACAACTGGTTATGGACAATGCCATGTCAGATACCGTTCACCTGCTGTAGGGTCCAATACTGTTTTGTTGCTTTTCTGGAAAATAGCTGACTTTCGAAAAACCTAATTGAAATCATGGTCCCGTAAACCTGGGTCACGATAGTACGGAAAACAGAACTAAATCAAGCATGGAAACTTAATCAATCTTAAATTAGACCTTGATTCAACCAAAGTTCTCTATTAACTATGAATCAACAATATTGTTTTCCTCTTTCTCTTTAGTTTCCAATACTAGCAGAGTTGATAACTTGCTCTTTCATTCAAATATAAAAACTTTCTGCTTGGTATGCCAAAAGGAGAAGTTGAACAGTTTTTTGGCGGTACAGAACCTGCTTTGAATGGCTTTGAAAAACGTTATATTACAAAATGTTTGCTTTTTTCAAAGCCATTTAAAAAAGAAATTCTTAAACAGCCATTCTAATAAATCTACGTCACTCATAAACAAAATCAGAGTATCAAACAAACCTATGGCTTCGATTTTCCTCTTTAAAGGTTCTGTTGATAAGAAAACCTCATCTTTGCAGCTTCTGGTTTGAGAGCCCAACAGCTCAGATCCAGTCGATAAAATTTTAGCGCTTTCTTCCTGCAGGCAAATGACAAAGCCATTTCAAAAAGTGCCTACGAAAACTAACCTTTTCATGACACTAAGTAAATATTCAAAAACCAGTCTCATGTTGGTTTACTTTATAGAAACCTACAAATTTTACCTGCATACAAACAAATCAACACGATATTGACTGGCTGATTGTGCCGAGAATCAACATTTCATCCGGCTAATGCGAATAGCCCTTCAGATTTCTTACCATCGGCTGAGAAGGAAGTTAATACAGGAAGTATCTTTCTAAGAATGTTTCGATGAAAAACAATTTAGTAAACAAGATACAGGTTTTTCCGCCAGATTTTGAATATTCTATCAAATATCTTTGTGTTGATAGACTCTGAATTAACAAATACAGTTGATAAATACTCGAGTAATTTTGCCCAAGAATTACCGCAGCAGTCTTCTTCCAAACGAGGAAAAAGAAGTATTAATTTATTGGCATTTAAAAAACAGCCTTTGTTTATAAATGCATTTGTTTAGCTTTTTGGAAAACATTTGGATAGCTTTTTGGAGACTTTCTTCCCTAATTGTACGAAATTCCTACACTTTGACATTTTTGATAGCCCCGACTCAAGTAATGTTGAACAGTAAATAATCCAAATAAAAATCATACCAGGCTACGAAAAAGAAACAGGAAATTTCCACAAAAAATGACTAGAAACTACAAAGAATAGGAAAAAGGTACTTAAAGAGGCTCTTCAAGTCCTTAAAAACGATTAAAAATAATAGGTATTTAACAAACCATAAGGTTGACCCCAGCCATGCATGTGACGTCATTGATATCATCGTCGTTACTGTAGGCATAAAAAATATATTAAGAAATGGGAACAACAAGCTCCAATTAATGCAAAACTTTGATTTTTCAGTACAAAATTGCTGTGAAAAAACTGATTCTGGTTTGAACATGAAACATAAGGATATTTATTAACAAGAATGTATTTCTAGGACATATTAACAATTTCATTGCGAACTTGTTAACAAGTTGTTGAGAAATAAAATGCAAAGGAATTTCATAGAGCTGATCTATTTAAATTAAAAAAAAGCTAGAAGCACAAGGGGGTAGCTGTAAGCAAAGATAATGATGTTATATTGCAATTAAATAATACCCATCATTCTGGCTAACAAGTTTCAAGAAAATGTTGATGACCACATCCATCTCTTAAATCTATAGTCCTCAATTTGACATTATTTCAGTTTAGACATTATTTCAGACTGGAAAAATTTTCAGTGGGAAGTAAGCCCCTGGGTTCTTGGTATTGAAATTTTGATTTAAAATCTAACTTTTGCTTCTGTGTACCTTGTCATTGCTGAAGAATAGTGAAAGGCTGCCTTGTGCTTGCTTTTCTCTGCCTGAGCTGCAGTGGCATTCACCAACACCTGAGACTGGCCCGTCACAGCTTTCATCACTGTTGCGATATCTTTGCCGATACCTGCTGGGTTGTGTATAATTCTGTCACCTTGGACCATCTGTTTCTGCATCATCTGCTGTCGATGTAGAGCTAGGGTTCGGTTCAGCAAGGCTTGCTGAGATTGGGCTAAATTCTGTTGTGAATTAGTATTGATTTGCATAACGGCTGCTTGCAGTGCAGCTGGAGTTGTCTTTTGGTTTGCTAATAAATTTACAGTGGACTGCACTTGACTTTTTTGCACTTGTGTTTGAGATGTACTGAGAGCTACTTTTTGCAACTCCTCTTGCATTTTCAGTGGCTGCTGGATGGGCTGTGTTGTTTGCACTTTGCTTTGCTGTTTCATGGTTTCTCTGAGGTGAGGCAAGGTTCTCTGCAAAGTTAATTTATTATCTTTAATTATGCATAGACACAAAGCATAGCCAGTAAATGAAAGAATATATAAAAGGAACATATGTTTGGGATAAATGCTAAATTGGGTCTAAAATAGAATGCAAATTGAGGAAACTAACAACTTTGTGTTTTCACATGCAGATCAAGGCCTGTTTCACTAGTTTCAGAAATGAGAATTTTCTAAGAACTCCCTCCGCCTTTCCTCTTAAACTTGATATTTATGAAATTGTATATAAAGTTCAGTCTAAATCTTGGTCACAAGAATTCATCACTTGTCTAAATTACAATTGCACCTGGATCTGGGGCAGACACTTGGTAAAATATTGGAGGGGGCAAGCCTATAGTTTTAATAAGATGATATCACATTTTCCCGTTGTTTAAGAACAAAAGATCATTGTCCTCCAAAGCATTGGGGGCGACTGCCCCCTCACCCACCCAGGTGTCCACCACTTTCCTGATATAAAGAGAAGCAAGATAACAGTAACATAAGCAAGTTAAGCTACAGCAAAAAGGACAAACAATGGACAAATATCTTATGTGATTTGTAAAACATCATGCAAAGGGAGTTTTCAGTTAACAGTTCAACAAACTTTTCACATGAGAATGAAGAAATTTATGATTAAATAAGCAGGTCTTTTTGTATAGCAAGCAAGTCCTTGCAGCATATAAAAATGGAAACTCTTTGCAAAACGTTTCTAAAACCCATAAAACTAATGACAATGTTTATCATCTTTGCTCAAAAACTGGTATGATTTGCTCAACTAACATAAACAAGAATTGCTTGTTCTTGGGAAATTGTACACATATTTACGATAATTTAAAATGATTGTGCACCAGAAATCATCATTTTTTTACATTCTGCAAAACCAAGCTGAAATAAGGAGCTCAGCAGTTGGCTAAGTGGAGCAGAATTCAACTAAGTGTGCACAAAAAGGAAATTTTGAAATTCATTTATGGAAGTTGGAATATTGAAAAGAAATTCATGTTTATTAAGGTAAATCATTATAGCCTACGCATATGACATTTTCACTATTGCTGGTCTTCTTTCTCTTTATTCAAATCATTATCATCTAAGATATATAACATATTAAAGACATTTTGGACATTAATGCTTTCAATATTCTTGCTTATTAGTCAATTCATCAATGCCCCAATTAAAAGATTATGTAAAGGAAGCCCTAGAAAATACTTGTAAGAAATTGATCTTGCAGCCCAAAATAGTAAAAGTAAAGAAATAGTAAGCATTGTGGAAACAAAATTTTTTGCCACAAACAGTATTGAAGTTAGGAAATACTTGACAGCACCTCTTAGCTTCAAAGACAGATAGTTTATCATAAAATTTAGATCCAGGGATAATGACCTCCTCATTGGGAGAGAATGACACATTTATGTAGAAATGTGCATTTCAGATAAGACTGACAATTAATACTACTTTAGTATTCTGGAGTTAAACATGCTTTATAAGTACTTGATAAGGTATGGGATTCAACTATACATGTTTTCTTAGAATTCAAACATGGAATTAAGGGTGTTAGTTATACAAGTGTGTCCCATACATGTCAAAAAACTGTAATAATAAAAAAAATGTTTGCTCACACAAACTGAATACCAATTAATTGCAGTTTTTTAAATCTCAAAGATTTGCACAACTTGCTGGTTTCTTATATAATTTTTTTCTAATAAAACACAATAAAACAAATCATACCTTTAGAAATGGCACCAGATTGGGTTGTGGATCTGATTTAAGAGTGAGCTGCAGCTTTTCTACAAATTCTTCTTCATTCATCTTATTATACTGTAGAAAAAGGAGGGAACAAATTAATACCCATGAACAATGTCTTAATAAATAATACCATTCATTCATGAATAATACCATTCAAACAAATTAATACCATCCAAAAAACAAATTAATACCCATGAACAATGTAAAATACAAATCATATTTCTACAAATCATATCATCATCTAAGGGGAAAGAACACAAGAAAAATTTTGGCAACCTTATTAGGCAGTTTTCTATCATTAGACATAATATAATGTATCATACAGATATTTATATTATCAATCAGTAAAAAATTGGAATAAGCATTCAACATTTGGCTTGAAGAAACCTGCATGCCTTCTTTCGAAAAAAGGTATCAAAATGTTCCATAGTTGGAAAAAAGTTATTATTACAGTTCGGTACTGGTTTAAGAATGCGACACTGGGGATAAAAAACTTGAACTAGAAAACATTGCTGAAAAACTACAATTTGACATGCTATTGTGCATACTAACATTTTCCCTGTCTTTTGAGCATAGCTTTTGTTCATGATTATATCTATATAAATATATACATTAAGTCAACTTTGCAGTTTTAAATATAGTTTTTAAGAACAATGTCAGATAGAAAGTGACCATGGGTGACATGACCAAGATGATTATTTGCAGTTTTATGAGATACTTCATGTTAAAAAAGAGCAAATACAAGCTCCAAAACTACCATGTGGTGAGGATTATCATATGATTATGATTATCATAATTTTGATATGTCTTAACTGAAATTTAGAGGTGTATAATGCGACAGACTTTAGTTGAAAAAAGAATACCTAGTGCCAAAAACAACTGCATTAACTGTAAAACTCATTGGTTGAAATATGAAGCTTCATTTTCATTATATAAACTTGCATAGAAGATTTAAAGGGAACACATGCATGAATGAGCTTTCACCAAGGATTTGCTACCAAAATACAACTTTCCCATAAGTGACTGAAAATTTTCATTATTGTTGAAATATAAAAAAAACTGCCATTAAACAAAAAGAACAGGGTTGGCTATTTGATGGGAGTCATAGGTTTGGTTAAGATGTATCTTGAAAACAGGCAAAAAAAACTGTCAACATCAGAGATTGAAGGGGACTTCAAACAACAATTACTTTAAATGATACCGCATTAGTTGTCTAATTATGGTCAAATTCTCGGCCACTTTAAGTATATATAAAAATTAACATCTGTTTTTGATGCAACTTGCTGAAACAAATGAGGTGAGCGGTTCCAGCTCACCTGCAAAAGAACAAATGGCCGTGCCTTGTAGAAACTGTTCATTTTATTGAGATTTTTGTCGTATATATAGTAACAGGCATGTAAAAATTACCATGTGACCGAGGTATGGACTTGAAATTAAATGTGGTTTCAGGCCTTTCGGGGGAATAAATTGGCACAAGTATGGCATTTCGCAACCTTAGACTGTTTTAGGCATGTGATGGGAGTTTGTCACCATTGGGAGCTTTCTGAAACCCTTGAAAATTATAATATTTTGGCCCCCACTTTCAATCATATCCTGTCAAAAGGTATATGAAAACAGTTTTGAAAACAGCACGGTTTGAAAACTTATTTGTGGAAAAACAGGACATCCCCTTCGGACAAATATGCCATACTGAATAACTTCTTCAGGAAGGATTGTTTAGGGCTGCACTGCACATCACTTATATATCTAACCGAGCTAACAGCAGGAACTAGACACTGAAATCACTGATGTAAAACAAATAGCTTTCAAGCATGGGCTATTGGCAAAGAATTTCACATAAAAAGCTTCAGCTCCTTAGAATTATGGTGCCTGATGATCTGATTACAATATTTCGCACACAACTTGCATAAAATCTTTGTTACATATGGCTTATTGTCGTAGGCTTAAATAGTATAGCCTAAAATGACATTGTTGTCCCATTTCAGGAATATGGCGAGCTTCTTTGTGATCCTTTTACTTTTCTTGCTGAAGAGACAAAATTTACGAGTGTAGATTAAAATAAATACAGCACAAATCTTGTCTAGACTGAAAGCCTTTTGTATAAAATTCAACCTAATTTACCATTAGAAAATGGTATTTTAGAAACATGTACATTTTAGAAACAGGTCTATGATAAAAACGCAACTTAGTTTTCACAGGCAATAGGTTAAAAGATGATTGCGAATTGTTGTATTATAATGGTTTTTGCAGCCTAAGATATAAAAATGAAATTTACTGGACTGCTACTAGCTCCAATGCTACGGTCATTTGGTCCATGTTTGATTGAATACAATTGTAGCACAACAGCTCTCCAAAATGATTACAGTGCCCCAGGACGGTGGACAAGATCGGTGAAACACATCAAAATAAAAAACACATAATGTAAACTAACTAGTTTTCAGCACTTTGGTTAAAAAACCAACGAAAAATTATAAAAATAGGCATGCAATTTAACATACTCCTTGGTGTGGAGATGCCTGTACCAGCATGTGTGAGTGAAATCGCATGCCTTTCCCGGGAATGCCTGTGTTTAATCCTTTTTTAGAGTAGGTAGTTTTGAATATGTATCAAAAAGTCCAATAATGAGACAACATAAAAAGCATTCACACTATGTGTAATACAGCAAACTTTACTTGTAAAATATCTTTAATTTGCATTTTCTCTGAAAATGTTTTTGTATCGGAAATAAAAATATCAACAATCATATGGAAAACCATATTCCTGTTCAGCAAGGAAAAAAAACCAGCAAATGCTCAAAATTAAATCTTAGGGATCCAGGTTTCCAACTTTCTGTTCTGGCACAGAGTGAAAATAATGTCAATGATCACATTGTTTGAAACAAAATCAATTACTGAGATTAATTTCTCTATATTTCCATACTTACCATAACGTTTTGAACAAGTTCTTTAACACTCCTTCCAATATCAGGTGGCTGGTTTGGTCCACATGCAAGACTAATCAAATTTTGGAAGAACTCTTTGAGTTTCTTCACAGATTCTTTCATGACAGCAACATTACTTGCATTAATGTTTGATACTGCTGCAGCAGGATTTACTTGTCTAAAACGATAAGTAACTACTCCAGGAACAGGGCTTGTTCCTTTGACTTGTGTCAAGGTTGATGATGGTAGGCCAATAGTGACAGCAGATGAGAGTGGGGCCTGCATTGCAATGGTGTTTGGCTTTGGCGAATTTCCTCGCCCCGTTGATGTATTCGGTTCTTGTTTCGCATTCTGGGTTAGAATTACTGGTTGTGGAGCTGGTAGCCTTGATACAATATTTTGAACACCAGGAATCTGTCCGGTCATCAAATTGATACCGGACACGGCAGTGACAGTGTTAGGCCCTGTCAGCCTGGGAGCTAGTGGCAACGGTGTGCCCGCCATTCTCACATTTCCAACTAAATTGCTCGGTACAAGGGCAGTCCCTGCAAATCCTTGTGCCGCTAACATTTGTGATAACTGTGGAGTCAACATTATAGTTGTCGGCATACGGGGTGCAATAGGAACAGTATTCGAGAGGACGTTCTTTGGCGCGATATTAACCTGTGAAGAGTTTGCAGAAATAGTTGGTGAAGGCGATTGCTTATTTGGGGTAGATGATCGCACAGTACTTGTAGGTTTGCCGATAATACTGTTAGAAGCAATAACTGAATTGGCAACAGATAAGTTTTGCGATGATCCATTGATAGGAGCAATCCTACTAGAGATCTGTATGTGGTTTGTTGCTGAGCTATCGATGGGTCCAGCCGTTGCAATCTTCCCTCCATCATTTGCTAGAAGGGTTGTCGAGTGAGATGAGGAATTAATCAGCTTGTTGCTGGAACTGCTCACTGATGAAACCTGACTCTCGAGAGACCCAACAATTGCATTTACAGCGTTTTGGTCCACATCTCTCTTCAACAAATCATCGAAGAAGGACGACTCCATTTGAGCTCGTTAAGAAATGAACGTGGAGTTTTGTTCGCCGGCCCGCGTTGCCTTCTGGGATTCACTATTCATACAATGCATTGTGGGAAAGCTGGCAGAACTGCTCCTTCAAAGAGACGCATTCTTCGCGATCAATAAAAATGGCGAAAATTTGAGGAGACAAATGTTGAAATGGGAACTATTCACATAAAAAAGCTTTTATCACTAGATTTATTTAAACAACGTGATTTAGTTTACATAAGCTTGTGAAGGTTGCGAGTTTTGCACCAAGCATGCATGAATACAGTATCAATTTCTTCCGTTGATCAAGCAATAACTGAATTTAAATAAATTTAATCCGTAAGTCTGAATGACGAATATGAAGTGAAGTGACTCCAAAAATTATTATCAACAGCTAGATTTCTAGCATCATTATGCATAAGAATTATACAATTGCACTAACTCAATATGCAATCTGGGGTCGGTTGTATAAGAAAAGGCTATTTGTAGGAACAATACATTTACCGAATAATGAACTTACAATGCTTATCATTTTCTGTTCTGGTTTTGTCAGTTTCCAATTTTGGATAGATTTGCAGGTCCCACGTTTTATAGTCTTCAATGCAATAGCTTCTGTTATAAGTCGGCCTTCGTATCAAGCAGGCGAGGATTCTATCCTAACTTTGAAAGGATGGAAAGTAAGTGAAGTAAGAACCTATCTAGCTTACCCAAAGAATAGCTACCCTCAATTAGAGGTATTTTCTTTAGTGAGAATTGGAACTGAGCTTTTCCAAAATGCGCTAAATCTTTTAAATGTTCCAAACATTGTTCACTTTTTGACTCTTATTACTTTTATAACCTCAATATAAAGTTTTATGCTTTAAATAAAAACTGGATGGCAGTTATCAAAAGTTCGAAAAACAGTAGCAAATTCAGTTGGCACATAAACACATTTGATGCAACAATAAACTTTAGGCTTTCTTCTAATGTAAAGCTTGAATGTAATTAGCTTGATATATATGCAAATAAAAGATTTCCCTTCTTCGAAGGAGTTTGCTGATGTAGACACTCTGCAAATAAAATAATTTTCGGACGTAGCATCTGATTTAAAAGTAGATTCAAGAAAGCAGATAGTTTGAAAAAGAGTTCTTTAGCTTGTTGGTATTTCTGCCTTTTCTTGACAACAAAAGCTGCAATCAGAAGAACTGGAGTATTTCACGAGCAAGCTTCGTTGTGATTTGTAGATGCTTGGATGTTAAAAAATCATTTTGGGACGTAACGTCTAACTAAAGTTTGAATCGGGAAGGCGAATAGTTTGAAAGGGGGTTTATAATATCAAAACAGAGTGAAAATTCAGTCAAAAGCTGACCATATATAAAGCTGATAAAAACTAATTTTGCATTTCAAGCTTAATCGAAAGATGGACTCAGAATTAAAAGCACTATTGCCCAATTTTGATTACACTTCATTGTAAAAAATCCATTTGCCTATGTATAGCACGTAGAACAAGAAACGTTACTGCTTATCAGTCTGTCATATAAAATGTTCTATTCTGTATAGAGAAAGAGTTGTACATGTTCTAAATATTTTAACATTGGCCTAAATCAATGAATTTTTCTGTAAGACACTCATTAATAGTGAATTAGATGTACCAAGTTTCCGTTTTCCACAGCCAAGTGTAAATTTAATTACAAGTAGGGACAAATTTTAGAAACTAAATTAAGAAACTTTAGGAAATTGTGTAATATATCTGACTTAAAGGAGCTTTTTGTCAGAAAATTGAGAATTTTTTCTCAATTTCTGGATAGGAAGATTACTTGAATGCTAACCAAACAGATTTGAGAGTATTCATCAAAACTTCGGAGGGGCTCAGCCTTCTTCGTCGTTTTTGCTTCAATCAGATAAGAATCATGTAACGTATACAAAGCAGAGACAAAATTTTTGCTCCAGCACATGTCTGTTATTTTAAACTGAACAAGAAAAAAAGCGAGATACAACTGGAAGACTCAGATGCATCACAAGCTTTATACTCATAGAAATGTAGACACATTTTGAAATCTAAACACAGAATGGAACGACTCACTACTTTTGAAGACTTCTTACTGAGGACATGCTGCGCAATTAGTTACTGTCTTCTATAGGCAAATAAGATATTTAACTGCTTTATTTAGAAATTCGATTAAAGTTATGTATGTCGGAAATGTTGGGCATGGCGTTAAAAGCCGAGATTATGTTATTGGCTTGTTTGTTATTGTGAGCAAGTTATCAACAGGGACGTCAATTAATAGAATTACTAAGAAAATGTGAGTAGATTGGCTCTAGCCTCAAACGCTGCCTCCACGAAACTCATTTCCAAAACTTTGAAAGCAATGCCAGCAAGAAACAATCAGCATCAAAATGTTTTGCCCCAAAAACTTGTTCTTCCCGGCTTTATTCCAGATTATCCTAGAGTCAGCAGCCATGATTCTGACTCTCCACCTTTGTATTGCTTTTCCACTTCTTCCACCTCATTCCTCATTGTTAGACAATTAAGTAAATCTTAACCATGAGGAATTATTGTGAAAGAAAGCTAACCGGTATTGCCCAGGACCCTCCTTTGGTCAAACTTGATGTTGTTTATATTTTAGATGCATTTTCTAGCCATTTGGCCAAAATTCCTAACCATGGTGACGGTCTCTGCTAGACCCCTGAGCAATCAAAGCATTCCCTCACTTTTAATGACGTTTCACCGGCCCTGCCCAATGCTGCTGATGTTCTCATCTTAGCTGCTGCTCAACCAATTATTTTACCTGGTTGCTCTACCAATGATCGGAAGAATATCAATCCATTATGCTTTGACTTGAAAATTTCATATCAAGATATTTCTTGAACATCTTAGACATTTCATTAAGCCTATGATTTGCTCTGTGGGAAGATACTATTTCATTGCGGACCTTTATGTTTGTTTGGTTTAGCCTTTCACCAATCAATTGGGAGGTCCCTGATTGTTGCTGTTATACAATTTAGTGTTAGAGACAATACAGGGATACATTATGCAGCAACATTTAGCCCTAGAAATTCATACACTATAATGGTAAATTCTCGATCACAACCTGCCGTTAAAACTCCTTTGCTACATTCTCTCCCAACTTAAAAGTCCTTTAGCCAGAAAACGATAAATTAGTTTTCCAATAATATAATGGCATGATTTTTTCTTACCTCTTACCCTACGTCAGAATTCAATTTTCAGTGACAATGATGCGAAGATCAAGAATTGAAGAGCTCCCTTGGTGAACTTTTACGCCTACGTCTGCATCCCTGGTGGTAACTAATGAGAACTAATAGCAATATTCCAATAGCCTTTAAAGCCAGTCTTGAAAGTGTTGCCAGAATAAACTTTGGTGATACACGTAAAATTTATTTGTTTCGACTAATTTGGTCGGGCCCTAAATTTGGAGCCAGTCCGCCCCTGCCAGCAGATAACGCTTTATCTCAGGTCTGTAAAAAGGTTCGTTTTCTGTTTACAGTAAAATCAACGAGTTCTTCCAATAAATTGAGAAAGCTTGTTAACGTGACTAAAGAAGAATTATGATGCTGAGAAATTGGGAGTTTCTTATGTTGGAATAATCATTTGCAACATATCGTCTCAACTCCATGTCTGAATTCCACGTCGGAACTCCACGTCTGAACTCCAGGTCTGAACTCCAAGTCTATCGCCAATAATCGATGTTGAGATTGCCCTTGCAGAGAGAAGATTGGTTTTTGTAGATTGTAGGGTGTTTATAACGGACTTATTTAGGCTTGCTTTGATTTTGAGTTTCATTTTGCACAGAGTTACATTAAATCATCTTGTCTTAATACGTAGGCCATCAGGCACAAGATAGACAGCTCTTGTAGGAACTATACAAATGATATGACTTATCCTTGCTCAAGCTTCTTTAAAAAATAGGATAACCAAATCTTCAACTAAGGTGCTATTTAATGTTATTTGATGTTTAAAGTATGAGTTAAAGTTTACAGGAGGGTGATAATTTTTTAGGCTTGGGTAATTGTTATCATAACCTCATGAACACAATTTTCGAACAAAATTTACTTTGCTCAAGCCTTTGGCTTCGCGCAACTTTGCAAAATAGGCCAGTTACCTCTTTGTTTGAACAGCTTTCGATTTTCTTTCTAGTTAACTATCATAGTTTCTGGTGTGGAAAATAAAAACTGTTTTTCTGTATGAAACATCTGTTTTATGTCACGGATGTTTCTGAATTTAGCCTGAATGTATTTTAAAATGGTCCCATAAATCAATATAGTTTTAGAGTTCAGTTCATTTATATTTTTAAATTCCACTTCATACAAATGCCATTAAAATAATACAGTAAACTAACTAGTTGCAATAGATTGCAAAGTTATCAGGTTTATAAAGGGATTTGTATGCAAGGAATTTCTTGAAAGGAGGAACTCTCTCAACAGGTAAACTAATCGAGGAGAGAGCACCCCCTTGGTTAAGAACAAAAATTTGCAGATTTATTGATGGCAAACGAAAATTGCATTTATTCAATCATATCGTATTTTAAGTTTGACTGCTAGTGTTGGATGGTTATTAGAAGTCTTTTGGCTGGAACTTGGTAGCGAAGAAGTGGAGCTTCAGTTGTTGCCAGAAATTCATTACTGTTGCAGTTTATTTAATAACATATGAAATGTTGTTCCATGATTTTGCACCTGCATACCTTATAGATTTCAAACCATATTGCAGGGTGTCTAATGTGCCATAAAAATGTCACCTTTGCGCGCCTGTCTTGTATCATGATGAAGGACTTGCGAAAGCCTATCAAAGAAATCATCAAAACAGGGTGTGGAAAGCTTATTAACAGATTCATAGATGAAAGTCAGGACTTTCATTTCAAAGAGATCTGTAGCTTGAGAAGCTGGAGAGGGAAAAAATAGGATTAGAAGGTACAAAAACTTTTATAAAAGCAATAGCTCGTACAATTTTTTTTAAAGTAGGAATATTGGTTTGATGTAAGCATCAAAAGTAAGTCCCCAAACAGCAATTCCATATTGAAAAAAAAGAAGCAAATAGAGAGTGATACAAGAAACCAA